CTGCAACGCGCACTCACACATGTCACTTCCTCTCACACGTGGCACAAGCGAACATCACTGGAACCTCTTGCATCTCAGCGCAGTAAAGCTTCTGTGAGCCTATCAGCAGCACTGCAACGCGCACTCACACATGTCACTTCCTCTCACACGTGGCACAAGCGAACATCACTGGAACCTCTTGCATCTCAGTGGAGTAAAACTTATGTGAGCCTATCAGCACCGCAATGCGCACGTGGGGCATTTCGCCGTAGACAGATCCGCTCGGATCTGGCATCGGACGTGCTTGTCTATGATGGGGCCGCGCTGCCCGGCCAAACCAAGGCCCAGATTGACCCATGACAAGCAGGTTCATGTTCATGTTCATCGCACCCCGACAAGAAGCAGGTTGAGCTGTGGAATATACGCATGCCGCCTACTATGTGAGATATGGTACAGATGAGCAAGCGGCGAACTCGAATGTGTAATTCATTCTATTTTGTTGTAGATTTACTGTTGAGTTAATGCTTTGTGTACTCTTTGTGTGTTTTGATGTGTACTACTACTAGCGCGTCGCATAATGTTTATGCATTCTTATGCGTGTATTCACGTGCCACGCACTGCCTGTGTGTTTGGGTTGAGGCTTCAGGAACCTGAGCTACTGCTCATTGTCTGGAAGCTTGCCCCAGCGCATCGGCGACCTCACCAGGCTTCAGTCCTTGTGCGTTTTGACTCCTGAGGCGCCTCAAAATTTGGATTGTCTGGAAGCTTGCCCCGACCCAGCGCATCGGCAACCTCACCAGGCTCCAGTCCTTGTGCGTTTTGACTCCTGAGGCGCCTCAAAATTCGGATTGTCTGGAAGTTTGCCCCAACCCAGCGCATCGGCGACCTCACCAGGCTCCAGTCCTTGTGCGTTTGGCTTGCCATCCCTGCTTTCGGGTGCTCAACACTCGTGTCTCAGTTCACTTTCTGAGTCACAAAAATTCAATGCATCGGCGACCTCACCAGGCTCCAGTCCTTGTACGTTTCGCTTGCCATAAATGCTTTCGGGTGCTCAACGCTCTCGTGTGCTCAACGCTCTCGTGTTTCGGTCCACAAGATCTGAGTTGGTCATGGTGAGGCCAGTGATCCAGGGGTCTGGTCTCCACATGCTGCTTTGCACTCCATCGCGTATGTTCCCTTTAAGAGTAAATGGCAACCCGAAACGAGTCCAGTCTACTCATGCAAAGTTAGCACACCGATGGGGTGTCTGAAACTGCAAGCATGCCTTGGCGCGCCCAGATGAATTTCTGTGGCCGTAGCATGTCCCCGTGATGCGCAATCCTAGAAAACGAGCCGAACCAAGCTGAATGGCTGGGTTCTGAGCTGATGAAATCACTTTTGAGAATTCTCAAAAGTGGGTTCTGAGCTGATGCATGTGGTGTTCTCCGTTTCTTTCTCGATCCTTCATCAGGAAGTAGTGCGCGTGTGTGTGTGTGCGTGCGCTCGCATGTGTGCATGTGCCGGTGCGATTCACACCGTGTGAACGTTTATGGAGCGTGTTTCCATGCCTCTTTCATGCAGCCATCCCTCTTCACATGCCATCATTGGAAGCATACCATTGAGTATTGGACAACTGACCAACTTACACGAGCTGTACGTAACGTAACCAACTTTCACGAGTTGTACGTGACGTAACCAACTTACACGAGCTGTATGTAACGTAACCAACTTACACGAGTTGTACGTGACGTAACCAACTTACACGAGCTGTACGTAACGTAACCAACTTACACGAGCTGTACGTAACCAACTTACACGAGCTGTACGTAACCAACTTACACGAGCTGTACGTTCCTGTAGTTATACATGGGCATCAGGGCTGTCGCTTTCACTGGGCCTAGAATTTACCAGGCTGAGGTGGGCTAAATTCAGTGATAAATTTCCAGGTTGAGCTGAATTTCAACACTTGGATTCAGTGCTACTCAATGTTTTTGCACTCAAGTGTGAAGAAATTATGACTCTAGGGTAGAAGTTTAGTTGCGCCCACCTAGTGGCTTACTGCTGTCTGTTAAACTCTCCTGAGAGGTCTCTTGCTTGATGCTCTCTTTGCCTTGTTCGTCACTCCCTTCAACTACTCATGGTGCCATTTTCTCTACTACACATTAAGAATCAACATCTAAGTCTTCTATTTTTATCCGGTCGCCTCCTTACTGTGATTCCCTGTCGTTGTCCTGCTACTGCATTGATTATGTACCTCTGTGTTCTGCATTTCCTTTCAGATCTTTTAAGAATTGTAACATAAGTGGAACGATACCTTCTGCTCTTGGTCAACTCAGTGGCCTCCGCCAGCTGTTAGTTCCATTCCATGACTCCCGACTTGTATGCATGCATGTGAAACTTTGTTCGCTCTCATTACGTTTCCTCTTGCCGTCTGTGGAGGGTGTCATGACATGCCATGTACGTAAGCGAAACAAACATGATGCCATGCTATGTGACATGCCATTTTGCACATTCAGCAATGGTGCTTTGATTTGGTACTTGGTTGGAATAAGCCACCTGCACCAAAGTCATGCTGCATGCATGACACATGCATGACACATGCATGATACTTGCATGACACATGCATGACTGCCTTGCTTCCTGCCATTGCATTGTGCTCCCTTACATACATACGCATGTACATGCACACACACACACACACACACACACACACACACACACACACACACACACACACGCACGCGCACACGCGCACACATGTATTCATGCATGCCTGGTTCATATGTTGCAGGTCCCTAGCTTATAACTCCATTACAGGAAACTTTCCGGCAACATTCAGCAGATTGTCTAGTCTGGTAGTACTGTAAGCATTAACACATACGTAAAAATTGTGCATAAAGGAAATCAGTCACATCACATGTGCGTGATTAGGTGAAAACATCATTTTTTTGTGCAAGGTTTAGTTGAGAGGTGGCCACTGATGAGATGAACCTGTTTTTGCCATGATCACGCAGTTTCCCCTGTGTGTTTTGAGTCGACTCAATAATCATCTTGTATTTTTCAAGGAGATTAGCATGCAACAAACTCACAGGAACGTTCCCTGCATCACTTCAGAGCCTGACGACACTTCAAACATTGTAAGTCGATTTTGTGTGAAGCACTAACAATTTTTTCAGAGTAATCTTCTCCATGACATTTACCCTCAATGCAAGTAAGTAGGCAAGCTGAGATGAAGAGGAGACGGAAATGAAGAGGAGACTGAAATGAAGAGGAGACTGAAATGAAGAGGAGACTGAAATGAAGAGGAAACTGAAATGAAGAGGAAACTGAAATGAAGAGGAAACAAAGAATTGACGGTTTGACCAGTGCAGCCACACCCACAGTCTCGTGTGGCCGGGTCGTCACGAGCTCTGAAGCCCTAATGCCCTAATACCCTGATTCCCTGATTCCCTAATGCCCTGGTTTTCTAATTTCCTGAAGCCTTATTCCCCTATCGCCCTAGTTCCCAACCCAAATGCCCTGATTCTCTAGGGCCGTAATTTTTAAATGCCGTAATTCTCGAATGCTGGAATGGAAAACGAAGGTCATGCACTTGCATTCATACATATGGATGGGCGGACACGAATGGCCAAGTCTACGCTTGGTCATGTTCTGTGCTTATACGTAATGGTGATATTCTTTATACGTGAGAACGAAATTAACCAATTAGAACCCCACGCCTCCTCAGTGCTCTCTCTCGATTATATATCATCAGCTCTAACAATCCCCTAAACCCTCACCCTTGACGCTTGACTGCTTTCATTGCATTGCGTTCGGTCCGGGCAGACTCTCGCCTTGAGTTCGATTCGCCTCGTTACCCATGTCTATCTCCACTTTAATGTGTGCTGCAGGGATTTGAGTTACAACTCGCTCTCAGGCCATCTCCCTTCATCCCTCGCAGGCATGATAAGCCTTTGGTACTTGTAAGTGAATGCGAATCCGTGTAAGCCAAAACAGGTTTATGTAAGCCGGATAGTTCCCAACCCACACCCGGGCTTGAGATGCTGCTGAGAAGCTCGGAGTTTGTTTCCAAGGGTTGAGGGCCAGGGAGAGTCTTTTATTCCACGCTCCTGCGATTCAATCAAGTACCCAGGTCACCCGAACCCTAGGTGTTTCTATAATTAGGAAGAAACGCAATGCAGGCGGGTTGGTTCGAAGAGAACGGGAGAGAGAAAGTGCACCAACTAGCCCACGCTAGTCAAGGAAGAAAGCAAGTTATATTGGCGAGTTGCAGCCTTTAATTGCTGTATTGTGTCTTCATGCGTCCCTGCAAAAGAGAGCCATACATATGTTGTTGCCTCTGATGTCTACTTGTGCAGAAACGTGGGGTACAACTTCTTCTCAGGCTCTCTTCCTGCATTGATTGGAAGCAGCATCAATCTTCAGTACCTGTGGGCCAACTTTCCCTTTCCTCACTCACTCACAAGTGATCCTCCTTGATTTTCCGCCTAAGCCTAAGCCTCCCTGCACTCCCGTCTAAGTGTTTTGGAAAATTATGAGAAGACAGGAGATGGAGAAGCAAGAGGCGAGCGGGTGCCACACGACCTTGACAGAGCTGGAAGGAGTATCCGATCCCACCCTGGACAATGCACATGGATGGATCCACAAAGGCACCATAATATTTGCACTAGGCATGAGCGAAGGGCCGAGCCAAAAGATTCGAGAAGCTGGCACCTTAAGAGCCGGTCCGAGGCCTCTCAACAAGCTGTGCGCTAAGAAAAATAGGTTCGAGCCTGATCAACAGATCGAACTCGTCCTAATCTTTGCTCTTCTTAACTTAGATCATTTGCCTAGATGAGATCAGCTCGTTGCAAGCCGGCCCTGTCTCGGCCCTTGCTCATGCCATGCACGCTCTATCCCACAACTCGGCCGTGTTCCATGGGTTGCAGGTCTTGTCCGTGGAACAATCTCTCTGAAACCTTGCCTGCGATGGCTTTTGAGGCGCCCCAAAAGTTGATCTAACCCACCCCGCGGCTGTGTTCAATTGGTTGCAGGGCTTGCCTATGGACCAATCTCTCAGGAACCTTGCCTGCGTCCCTGGGTAGCTTGGCCAAAATGACTATGTTGTAAGTCAGGCCTTTGCACTCTGGGTAGATAGCCATCTGTGCACTCTGCTGCAGTCTTCAGTCCCGTCTGACTGTTGATAGCGATGCTATGCGCCCTTCCCTTTGCACACGCTTTACATGACAATATGCACAACATGACCGAATCACAAACGTGATGTTTCTTCTGTTTGGCCTTGCTCAGGAACTTGGAAGGTACCTCGTTGTCAGGGGTGTTCCCTGCATCACTCGGGAGTCCGGAACATCACAACTGGATTGACACTGTGAGGCAGCTCTAACACTTTGGCAATGCTGAAATGCACTGCTGTGGGCTATACTATAGCAATGCTCAAATGCACTGCTGTGGTTTTCTTTTCAGTCGACTCAAAACCAGGGGTGTTCCCTGCGTCACCCGGGAGTCGGGAACATCACAATTGGTTTGACGCTGTTGTTTTCGCACCTCTCTCTGTTTCTCGTCCTCTCTTTAGCAGCTTGTTTGTTGTCTTTCCATGCTGGTTCTGATATAGTGTACTTTCCGCATATCCATGACGATTGAGGATGTTTGAGATTACCAAACCAAACATTCATTCCCTCGTACTTATAAGTCCACCAGTTTACTGTAATAACTGTGCTGTTCTCATGCTACTGTCTCTTCTCCAATCTGCTCCACGTGTGCACTGTGCAGCAATCTTCCAGACACAGTGACATGCCCCCCCCAGGCAGGGGCGTGTGTGGTGGACCAGCGGAGAGCATCCGCCTTCTGCTCTTTCTGCTCCAGATTCTGCTCCTCCTGCTCCCCGCAAGGCCTCTACTCCTCCTGCTCCCCGCAAGGCCTCTGCTCCTCCTGCTCCCCGCAAGGCCTCTGCTCCTCCTGCTCCCCGCCAGGCCTCTGCTCCTCCTGCAAGCGACCAGGTGCGTGTCTGCGGGGACATGGATGGATAGGGGAACTCGAGAGGGGGCTATGGGAGCACTTGCCTCTCTTTTGCCAATATCCCCTATCTACTGCCCCGTGCCTCTCTTGGTGGTCGGCCGCTTCTCTCTTTTGTTAACACTTGCCTTGGTAATGTCTGTTACCTTGAGTCCGAAGCTCGTTCGGCTTCTTGTTCCTCCTCACCCGTTCCTCCTCACCCGTTCCTCCTCACCCGTTCCTCCTCACCCGTTCCTCCTCACCCGTTCCTCCTCACCCGTTCCTCCTCACCCGTTCCTCCTCACCCGTTCCTCCTCACCCGTTCCTCCTCACCCGTTCCTCCTCACCCGTTCCTCCTCACCCGTTCCTCCTCACCCGTTCCTCCTCACCCGTTCCTCCTCACCCGTTCCTCCTCACCCGTTCCTCCTCACCCGTTCCTCCTCACCCGTTCATCCCGTTCCTCCTCACCCGTTCCTCCTCACCCGTTCCTCCTCACCCGTTCCTCCTCACCCGTTCCTCCTCACCCGTTCCTCCTCACCCGTTCCTCCTCACCCGTTCCTCCTCACCCGTTCCTCCTCACCCGTTCCTCCTCACCCGTTCCTCCTCACCCGTTCCTCCTCACCCGTTCCTCCTCACCCGTTCCTCCTCACCCGTTCCTCCTCACCCGTTCCTCCTCACCCGTTCCTCCTCACCCGTTCCTCCTCACCCGTTCATCCTCACCCGTTCCTCCTCACCCGTTCCTCCTCACCCATTCCTCCTCACCCGTTCCTCCTCACCCATTCCTCCTCACCCGTTCCTCTCACCCGTTCCTCTCACCAGTGCAAACAAACGCCTCTGGGAACCCCACCACCACCACCATCCCCGCGAGTCCTGCCGCCCCCACAAGCCCCTCCAATGCCCCCTCGGATTCTACCGGATTGTCCGCTGCGGCCATTGCCGGCATTGCTGTTGCCCTTCTGCTGCTGCTGACAGCTGCTGCTGGTGGTGCGGCCTAGTGTTGTAAGGCAAGGCAGACGGGTGGAAACAGGACAGAGAGAAGCAAACGAGGTAAGCTGTGCATCTCTTTCTTGTGAGGTCGCATCACTGATGTGCTTCATGCGGTCTGCTGCTGGTCACATTCACAAATTTCACTTTGCTACCAAAAAACAATTTTACGTTAGTGGTGTTGGTCATTTTGAACCGGCCTCCTTGTTCCCTGATCCCTGCTCCTTGGTGGATGAGTCATCGTAGGGGGTCTATCAGGGGAGGTCTGTCTGTCGGGAGTGAACTTCTATGAGTCGACTAAAAAATCGGCCACGTTTACCCTTGTACTTTGGTGTATGAATGACCGCAGGGAGTCCATCAAGGGAGGTGTGTCAGGGGTACTCTCTCGACGAGGTGTGCAGGGCGACTGACAATGTTTTTGGCACATCATATTTCGTTCCTAAGTTCCTTTTTCCTTCCTTGTTCCTTGTTCCTTGTTCTTTCTTCCTTTGTGGATGAATCACCTCAGGGGGTCTATCCGGGGAGGTATGTCGGGAATACACTATGGACGAGGTGTGCAGGGCGACTGGCAACTGGAGCGAGGAGAATCGGCTGGGGTCGGGGGCCTTTGGGGACGTTTACCGGGGTGTGTCTCCCGACGATGGCACCACTGCGTGGGCTGTGAAGCAAGCTAAAGTCATCACCTATGATTTCCACAATGAGGTGACCCTAGATACCCCCTATGTTTGAGATCGCCTCAAAAGGCTTTGGGGACGTGTACTGGGGTGTGTCTCCCGACGATGGCACCACTGCATGGGCTGTGAATCGCGCTAAAATCATCACCAATGATTTCCACAACAAGGTGTGTGTGACGTGACCATGGCATGGCTGCACCGCACTGCACCGTCCACTCTCTCTTTGCACCACTGCATGGGCTGTGAAGCACGCTAAGCTATGCTTCCAACGCTCTCTCTTTCTTCTCTATTGCTGGATGTAATGATGCCAAGTTTGAGGGTTTGACTTTAGAAGCACCACGTTGAATCAAATCGTTGTTAGCTCGCTGCTCATGAATGTGCGGAGGGGAAGCAAGCACCAAGCAAGACTCATTAGAAAATAGTTCAGGGGTTTCTTATTCCGTTATCTCCTATTGAACCTCCCTCTCTCTCCGCACAGGTGACTCAGATGGCCAGCAAGCACCATCCCAACCTGGTGCGGCTGTTGGGTTACTCCATGGGGGGCGATGTGCGGTCGAGCATAGAGCAGATTCTCATCTACGAGTTTGTGTCCCATGGAGACTTGGCGAAATGGGTTGGGAAAGGTGGGTGCTGGGTTCCCGTCATAAGCCTCTAAAACTGTACTGCGAACTGAAGGTTGTGTTTTTAGTCGACTCAAAAGAAACTTTCAAAAGAGCTTGTGGGCAAACATGGATTTCCCAAGGGATGTCTCTCTATCGGCACTTGTATTGTGATTCCCGACGTGCCCTTTCCTTTGTCTTATTCCTCAATGACTTGCATTCATGCCACCAGACGCACCAACGCCCCTCACACTGCAGCAACGGCTGGGCATCCTCATTGGAGCGGCGCACGGCTTTGAGTACCTTCATAGCTTTGGCATCGTGCATCGCGACATCAAACCCGCCAACATCCTGCTGGATTCAAAAATGAATGTGAGCCGGTATAGAGGTGCATGGGGAGGAAGGGGAGGGGAAAGGGTGCACCCGTGCAGGGACTCATGTGGATGTGATGCTGGAAGGAACTAGAGGGAAAGGGAAGGGTCTGCACTGCAGTACGCTCTCCTCTGCAGCCCACCTGTCCGCTACTGATAGCACCTCCACAGCTTTGGCATCGTGCATCGCGGCATCAAGCCCGCGCAACATTCTACGAGACTCCAAAGATGCATGTGAGCCAGTGTTTGTGATGAGAGGGGCACCGGAGGGGCTGCAGTACCTGCATGGCTTATGTCTTGCCTCTCCGGCTTGCGCACATATTTTGCCTGTCTCTCCGCCTTCCAGCCAAAGATTGCAGACTTTGGGTTGGTGCGGCTGGGGGAGGGCAGCACGGTGGGTGCCATGCGGGTGATGGGCACTCCGGAATTCGTGGACCCCGCGTACTGCAAGTCGCACATGGCCACCAGCAGCACCGATGTGTATAGGTACTGCTCGTTCCGCTAAATACGTTTGTTTCTGCTAACAATCACAGAAATCATTATGTTTTCATTGGTTACTTTCGTGTGATGTTCCGGCCGCTAACTGTCAACAGTTCTATGATCCAGTTTTTTTTTTTTTCCATCTTTCTTTTTTTCCCTCCTCTCTGCTTTGTTCTGCTCATCTTTATGAACTGCAGCTTCGGAATCGCAATGCTTGTGGTGCTGACGGGACGCAATGTCAACTTTGAAGTGGATGGGCAGATGAGAAACCTCCTGGAGTGGGTAAGACGTGGAACCTTGTATGCAAGTAAGGAACGCAATTCACACATGGGTGACTTATCATGGAATGTATCCCAGCCGCGTACTTGAAGGCTGCTTGGGTTTTTCAGACGTTTTGCTTTTGCAAGCTCCTCTTGTCAACCTCAGTCATCTTCTCTTTTAGCATCTCCATAGTAGCGGCACTTCTCTCGCTTTTGAGAATTCTCAAAGCACTTCTCTCGCTCGCTTGCAAGTTGCAGTCTCGCAACCCTGCCAGATAGGCTCTCCCATGTCAAACAAAGAGGCCTCCCCGCTGACGGACCCGGGCCTGGATGCCGAGGAGACCCCTGGCGTCCTGCATTATGCATGTTGCCGTCCTGGCCCTCACCTGCACGGCCACTCTCACATCCCGCTCCCTCCTCCCACCAGGTGGGCTGCCACGTCTCAGGCGAAAAAGACGCCTTCCTGCTGAGAGACCCGCGCATGGAAGAAGAAGACGCACCTGATGATGTCATCCTGCGCGCTGCTCACCTGGCCCTCACCTGCACGGCCGCGCTCACAGCCACTCGCCCCAGCATGGCGCGCCTGGCCAATGACTTGGAGGGTATCCGGGGGGAGGTGGTGGGGGAGGAGGTGAACCGCGCAGCAGAGAGGGTGGACGAGGTGGTGCGGCTGGGCACAGGGAAAATGAGGACGCTGGAGGAGTTGAAGATTGTGACTGAGTCGCTGGATGCAGATGCCAATGTTGAGTTGAGCTTTGAGGCAGAGAGATTGTTCTCATACATTGGTTGGTTACACTCTTGGCTCATGACTTGGAGGCTATCTGGAAGGAAGTGGTGGGGGAGGAGGTGAACCATGCAGCAGTGAGGGTGGATGAGGTGGTGCGGCAGAACGGAGGGCAGATGAGGATCACAAGGCGCAAGTGCCTTGGTGAAGACATCAGCAGTGTTGGCCTCAGAGGCCACGTATGCAAGTCGCAACTGTCCACGCTACTGTAGCTCACGAGCAAGAAAGTAGCGGAGAGCAATGTGCTTTGTCCTGTGCTCCAGTCGCTGCTCTCGACACAAGGCCAGCATGGCCTTGTTGTCTACGTACATCACTGGAGGAGAACGAAGCGGCTCTCCAACGTCGGTCAACAGGTAGGTGAGCCAGCGTAACTCCTGTGCACCCATAGCCCCGGCGTAGATCTCAGCCTCACAACTGGAGCCGAGAACTGAAAACGAGCGGGTAGCCCGCCACGAAACACAGCCGCAACCTAGGCTGAAGGTGTAACCCTGTGACGACCGCTGAGTAGCCGTGTCGTCAGCCCAAGAAGCGTCCGCGTGTCCAGTGAGGACCACTGGACTGCGCCCTCCAAGCACTAGCGCCATGCCCGACGTACTGCACAAGTAGCGCAACACCCTCTTCGCTGCAGCCATGTGCTCTGGTCGGTGTCTCCCAGGAGCAACATAGCGTGCGAGAATGCTAAGAGGGTATGCAAGGTCAGGTCGTGTGCAGGTCATGAGGTACATGAGGCAGCCAACAAGCTCTGCATACGGACCACTCGACTCTACGGACTCATCCGAAGGCAGAGCTGAGAGCGAGTGGCGAGTAGGCAGAGGAGTGGCCTGAGGCGAGGAGTACGTGAAGCCGAAGCGCTGAAGAACCTGCTGCAACATGTGTGACTGAGTCAGGGTAATGGTGCGGCGTGCTCTGTCCCGGGTGATCTGCAAGCCAAGGTAGGTGCGCAGTTCACCCAGGTCAGTGCACGTGTGTCTCTTCTGCAGCTCGGACTTCACGTAGGCGAGTCCAGCAGTGTCAGCTGTGGCAAAGACCAAGTCGTCGACGTACACGAGGATGTAGAACGGCGGAACAGAAGTGTCGGTGCGCAGAAACAGCGACGGGTCGGCCGTAGAGGGAGCAAACCCAAGAGCCGTAAGCGTAGTCCTCAGTGTGTCGTGCCACTCACGCGGTGCCTGGCGGAGACCGTAGACTGGCCGCCGGAGGCTCCACTGGGTGCCAGGAGGAAAAGTACCAGTGAAGCCAAGTGGGCGGCACAGCCAGATCTCCTCGTGCAGGCTACCCTGCAAGAAAGCAGTGCTGAAGTCGAGAGAGTGCAGCTCGTAGTCACGGTGAGCAGCAACGTGCAGCAGTACCCGAAGAGTGGTCATCTTCGGGGTGGGGGAGAAGGTCTGAAAGTAGTCAAACCCCTGCCGCTGACTGAAGCCACGAGCCACGTAACGCGCCTTGAAGACAGGCGGAGAACCCGGCGGCCGCTTCACCCTGAAGATCCACATGCCACTGACGATGTTCGCCCCAGGAGGGGGGACAGCGTCAACGTAGGTGCCTGTGGACTTCTAGGAAGCCATCTCTGCATCCATAGCTGCCTGCCACTGAGAGGAGTAGGGACCCTCTATCGCCTCCGCATAAGAGCGCGGAGTCGGGATGTCTAGTGCATCCGGGTCTCCCTTATGGGCTAGCAGTACAGACGCGAGATGAGGTGAAGCGGCGGCCAAACACTGGAACTCCTCCTGCCTGTCCTCAAGGACGTCCGTGCCAAGGGCACACTCACCCCCGACGGACGGAGGACAGGCAGACTCAGACTCAGCGACAAGACTAGCAGCGTAGTCTAGACGACAGCGCGCAGCAAAGTCGACGAGCTCAGTGACAAGGGCAGACGCAGCAGAAGACTCGAAAGAAGGGCCAGTGACAGCAGTAGCAAGGAGACGCGTGACAGTAGGACTGGCAGCACGAAGAGAGTCCGACTCCGGGTCGGCAAGAGCAGGAAAAGAGGAAGCAGGAGGAGAAGGCAAAGGGGCACGCAGGGGAGCAGTAGACGGACGCAGAGACAATCCGGTGCGTGCCAGGGACAGGAGGAGGACGCTGACGCGAACCGCGACCACTAGCGTGCGCAGTACAAACAGGCGACGCAGGACGAGACGCAGGCTCACGACGCTTGGTAAGACCTCCAGTCGGACCAGCGTAGGGAGAAGGAGCAGGCAAAGGGGAGGCAGGCTGTAGCTGTCACTGTGACGAGACAGGCTGTGGACCCTCTAAGGGAGGAGGAGGAGGACCAGGAGAAGGTGTAAGACCAAGAACCTGCTGCAGGAGCGGAACGAAGTACAGTCGGGGCCGCGCGGCGACGCCAGGAACAGCAGGGACAGCACCAGTACCCCCAGCAGGAGAACCCGCTCCAGCAGCACCTCCAGCAGCACCTCCAGTAGCTCCAGAACCTCCAGCAGCACCACCAGGAGCACTGCTAGTCGGACCGTCAGCGGCAGTCTCAGCGCCAACACCCTCAGCAGCACCAGCTCCAGGAGAACCCTCAGACCCAGCAGCTCCAGCATCCACAGTACGAGCACCTCCGGGACGCTCGGCAGCAGTACCCTCTGCAGCCGAAGAACCTCCAGCACCAGCAGCACGCCTCCAGCGCCGGGCAAACCACTCACGCAGCTCCTGTGGGGGGAGTGGCTCTCGACGAGACGAAGCACCTCCAGGGGTAGCACCCCCAGTCTCAGCACCCCCAGGCTCAGCACCCTCAGGCCCAGCACCCCCAGGCTCAGCACCCCCAGGCTCAGCACCCCCAGGCCCAACACCCCCAGGCTCAGCACCCCCAGGCCCAGCACCCCCAGGCTCAGCACCCCCAGGCCCAGCACCCCCAGGCTCAGCACCCCCAGACTCAGTACCCCCAGGCTCAGCACCTCCAGACTCCGCACCCCCAGGCTCAGCATCCCAAGTGTAGCACCTCCAGGCTCAGCACTCCCAGACTCAGCTCGCGCAGCAGCACCAGAGTCACCAGTGACCTCGACAGGCTCAACCGCGTCTACCTGGGACACACCTGAAGGGGCAGGACCCTGAGGGGGGAGGGGGTCTACCGGGGGGGGACCTGGTACCAAGAAGAGCGCGGTCGGGGGGAGGGACGGAGTGCGGTAGGGGAAGAGGCGGTAGTAGGGTACCGACTCGTCGAACGTGACGTCGTGGGAGGACAGAACACGTCGAGAGGTGGGGTGGTAAAACTGCCACCCAGGGGCGTCTGGGGGGAACCCCAGGAAGACGCAGGGAGCAGCGCAAGGGGACAGCTTGTCCGCAGACAAGTCGCGGACAAACGCCCGAGATCCCCAGACCCGGAACGCCGACGCATCGCCAACCTTCCCCGTCCACAGCAGGGCTGGGGAGGTCTCCGGCCTGGAGACCCTGGGGTGGAGGTTGATCTGATGCGCTGCGTACCTGACTGCAAACGGCCACAGAAAATGGGGGGCAGCCGCATGCATCATGGACGTACGAGCGACGTCCATGACCATGCTAATGCGGCGCTCTGCAATCCCATTTTGCTGCGGGGAGTCCGGAAGCGTGAAGGTCTGGCGGATGCCTCGCGCACGACAGTAGGCACGCAGAAAGCCAGATGAGAACTCTCCGCCTCTGTCCGAGTGCAGACGCAACACAGGAAAGTCCGAGCCAAAGCTCTGCCTGAGCTGGAGACGAGCTGTGCGGATCCAGTCGATCAGCACCTCAGTGACATCACCCTTGCTGCGCAAGGGGAAGACTGTGGTGTAACGCGAGTAGTCGTCAACCACCAACAGAAAGTAGCGCTCGTGACCGAGTCCACGGACGCGGGCAGGGCCCCACACGTCCATGTGAAGCGTCTGCAATGGAGCCTCTGTCGGAGGAAACTGGGAGGAGTGAGGGGCAGCACGCTGGCGACCCTCGACACAGGGGACACAGGCAGGGCCAAGGCCCTGAGGAAGGGGAGGTAGGGACCGGGGGAGACCAGACACAAGAAGACGGGAGGCCATGCCTCTGAGCCGAAGCAGAGAGGGGTGGCCAAGGCGGTGGTGCCAGAGGAGGGTCTCGTGAGACAGACGGCGACACGAACAGGGGGCAGACTCAGGACCAGACCTGGACGCTGCAGCAAACACCTGACCAGACGAAGGGACTCTACCAGACTCAGCACCTGGAGGAGAAGCAGTGGTCAGTGTGTACAGGCTCGACCCTGGCTGACGTGTAAACGTAGCCAGGTGACGACCCGTGCTAGCCTCTGTGCAGTGCGTCACTCGCTGACGAGCAGGGGTGAACTGGTGGACTCCCGCATCCTATAGGTCAGCACCACTCACCAAGTTCGTAGAGAACGAGGGGAGGTAAAGACCAGACAGGGTGCCAGAGGGAGCCGCCGGACACGGGAGGACTGTGGAGAAGCGAGACAGGACAGGACCCCCAGAGGGGTCAGCCAGGGAAACCGCAACCGGCCGACTAAGCGGCGTAAGTGTGGTGCGGTCCCGAAAGAAAGAGCGAGACGCTCCAGAGTCAAGAGTGAAGGTGTGGGAGGCCGAAGCCGACGCAGTACCTGAGAGCGCAGACGCACTAGTACCTGAGAGAGCAGTCTCACGAGCACCTGAGAGCACAGACGCACTGGCACCTAGAGCAGAAACCTCACCGGCACCTGGAGCAGCAGTACCAATGCCCGGGTCGGGCGGGAAACACCGGTAACAGTCACCCTCATCACTAATGGTCACAGCATACATTGCAGCAAGGATAGCATCAAAATCAAGATCAAAGATAGCTACACCAGCCCTAGACAGCTCTCCCCAGCGGGGGATCTCCGCGGCCTCCGGGAACTGCTGACGCCAAGCGTCCGTCAGGCGGCCAAAGCAGCGCTGGGCGGGGTGGGCACCCCCACACTGCTCTCCAGTGCGGTCGCCAGTGCGGAGAACGTAGGTGCAGGGACCAAAACCCCCACCGCGCTGACGATGCGTGTAGCACTCACGGAGCTGCTGAGGGGTGGGGACGTCGCGAGAACGCTGCTGCTGCTGCTGCTGCTGCTGCTGCTGCTGGCGTTGACCGCCACCAGTGCCGCTCCGCTGCGAAGCTCCACTCCGACCACCTCCACCTCCGCCACCCCCGCCTCCGCCTCCACCGCCCCCGCCTCCGCCACCTCCGCTACCACCGCCACCGCCGCCGCCACTCCCGCCTCCACTGCCGCCACTAGCACCCCCACCCCCGCTACCACCTCCACCGCCACCCCCACTCCCTCCGCCGCCTCCACCTCCACCGCCACCGCCCCCACTGGCCCCACCCGCTCCCTTGCCCCCCTTGCCCTTGCCAGAGCGGCGTCTCCCGCTAGGGGCAGACGCCGCACCGACCGACTCAAGACCAACGAGGTCGGCCGCAGCGGCAGAGGCGACAGAGGGCAGGAGAGGGGAAGGAGAACACCCCTCAAAGATGGGGGCGCGGGGGTCACATCGAGAGGCTCCTACAGCAACTATGCTCTTCTCTGCTGCAAGGAGGGCCTTCTCGAGGCCGTCGACTGTGAGGGTGGTGGGACAGACCGCGAGGAAGTGGTCCTGGACTACACGAAGGGAGTCAGGGAGGCTAAGGTAGGGCCGCGGCTGGGTCGCGAGTAGGGCGGCGGTCGGGCCGCGAAGTAGGGCGGCGGGGCCGTGAAGGAAAAGGGCGACTCGGAGGGTCGCTAAAAAAAAAAGGCGCGCGCCTCGGGCGCGCTTCGGTGGGCCCTAAAGAACAGTCCCTAGGATGGGACCTGCTCTGATTCCATGTGAAAAAAGGAACGTGAATGAAATGACTACGAATGAAGTGAGTACAAATAGGAAACCCTAGTTGGGTTGTACCCCCTATGGGATACCCCACTATAGCCTACACAAATAAGTAAGCTATAATATTCTGACACAAAACTGTTTTCCTGTGCTCCGTTCGACGGCTGCGCGCGAATACACTCTGCTGCCTCCCTCGAAGCGCTCCCTTTTTCCGCCCCCTCCGCGGAAGCACCCGTCGCCGCCATCCCCTTCAGGTGGGCTAGTGCGCGGCGCATGTCGACCATGTCACGCTGCACGGCAGCCATGGCGTCGCTTTGCTCCCTCAGCTGCGCCTCCAACGCCACCACGCGCTCCCCCACGCTGCGAGCCATCTCCTCCAGCTGCACCTTGAGCACGCCGTTCACGAGCCGCAACTCAACGTCCCGCGTTGTCGTCGCCATTCCCTTCTCGAGCCCGTGCAGAGTGATTTTTTTACTGCACGATGCAAGTTATGCAAGCTTGCTCCCAGGAAGTTCACACTAGAGCACTCAATGTTGCTTCTAAACGGAGCAGGCGAGAAACAGTTTCGGAATGGAAACACGTGAAAGGTATTTTATGGAGGTGAAGCAACTGCGGTTGTTAGCAGATTTTGTGCGTTGAAGAAGCGTATCGAGCCTCGGGTCGGGCGCGCGCTTGTTCCCAAGCAGTGCCCTAGATATCAGACTTTTTATGCCGATTCAGAGTCCATTCAGGCTTTTTTTTTTTACCTGGTCTGAACTGTAAGTTTTTTTTATTTCCCTTCTCTGATTTTTCAGATATTTTTTTTGTGTAGTGGCTGTAATTTCAGACAAATTTTTTGGGTGTAGGCTAAGCCTCAACCATGTTTCGGGGGTGCACTCTGAAACGGGTACTACAGGGGTTTCCGCCAGCCTGGCGTTGTGTTGCACTAACGTCGTCAATCAGGGGCGGGAAACGAAACATTTCCCGAGCGCGGCACCACACAGTTCCATTGGGCCAGGATTGTTGTAATCTGGCTCAATTCCAGCCAACCACGGCAGCGCAGCAGGCAATGTTGGCAAGATTCCTTGCCAACGCATAGCTCACAGCGCGCTGCACCCGGACAACACCATAACCATCCACCCCCAGCCACCGTCCTCCTTGCCAACGCATAGCTCGCAGCGTGCTGCAACTCTCACGTGACCACATCTATCCACCCCACTCACCCCACCTTCCCTGCACACACGACCAGATGTCGTGCATGTAGTGACCACAAGGGAGATGAGCGGTCCAAATACGAGGACCTCTCATGTTCCTCATCGTCGCCCTTCGTAGGGGTCACTCGGTGCCCTGTCTCTCTCGCTTCATTCAATTTCCTCGCCAAAAACTAGTGCTGGAACCCTTGCTTCAGGCTCTCTCTCCTCGCCCTAGCAAAACTAGTGCTTGGGAGACTCAATGGCAGCCACAGACGCTGCCCCCGAAGCGCCCAACGATGATGACGATACCGATCGTCGCCCTGCTTCAGACGCTTTGACCGGCATGGACTCTCTTAGATCATGTTTACCGAGTCATGTTCCACCGAATAATCCACCTGGATGGGAGTCTCCACCTAGCTTGTCGTCGGATGGGAGTCTCAACCGCTTCAAGATCACCCTGCACAAGCGCAAAGTGGCGAACTATTTCGGGGCGGGCCATCACGACGCGTGTGTGGCGCTCTGCACCGACTTTGCCGAGGGCCTCGTCGAAGAGCTCCTGTCTAAGCTCGGCGACCTCGACACCCTTTCTGGCGTGCGGCTTTTCATTCCTGACGAGTGGCCTCCGAATTGGGAGAGGAGCGCACGGCAAGCACAGTGCCTTGAGTGGCTGTTGTCGCTAGTCACTCTGTTCCGCGCCGACGACTGTGACGGGATCCTGCCAGGTGAGTTCATAATGTGATGCTCGTTCGACCGTTGTCGTCCCGTCCTTTACTAATCCCACGCCTTACCCTAAACTTGCAGGCATTGACAAGAAGCGTGCCGTCAAGGAGCTGCGGACCCTGTGCCCAGTCCTGGCCAGAGCTCCTAAGAGCGAGCGCAAGTTCAACACGGGACTGACTGCAATCCTCAAGACACCTGACTGACAACAAGCATACCCCAACCTCGTCAGACTCTGGGTGGCGATTGCAGTGCTGCCTCTCAGCACCGTCGAGTGCGAGAGAGGATTCTCTAGACAGAATCTCATCAAGACGTGGCAGAGGGGCAGTTTAAAAGACCAGTGACTTGCTGTGTATGTCTATGCTAGACTATGAGCTGGACGTGCCGGGGGTTGTAGAGATTTGGCGCAGTATAAGAAGCGCCGGCCAGTGACAGCACCTGTTGCAAGACACAGGGAGCCCCAAAGAGCTGGGAAGGAGGCTGTAGAGGAACCAGTAGTTCAGCGGGCAGCAGTAGAGTCACATGTGATAGAATCTGAGTGAGATAGTTGAAATGATTTTCCGGTGCATTATAAAGGACTCAGCCTTCAAACTTAGCAGTGTAACGCTGTACTATCAGCCAAAAAAATCTAGTGTTGTCTGAATTTCCAGACTCAAAGTTGGAACAAACTCTGAATGACAGCGTTTAGAGAAGGGTGCACTCTGACCCATCAGCGTGTCCCAAAACGAATCTAGGGTCCTGTTCCTAAGCACAAGCAAAACATCTAGCCAGAAAATATAATTGGTCGCAACGTCGTTCATTACGAAATGAACAGTCAGATTTGGGAGACATGCTGGAGGCGGCCGACGTGCGACGCTCAATGCGCCACCCAATGTGCAATACACCGTTGTGCACTCTCCGTTTGGAGAATGTTGATAGAAAACAAACTTGTGCAAGTGGGAGTTCGAAATGTTCTGATACCTTATATGAGTCTAATATCGTGTTACCCCAAAGTTTGATACCCTTCAAAATGGCTATGCACGCACTTTTCTATCAAATAAGGCATGTATTGGTATTTTTCACCTCCATTCTCTGCTAGACTATCCAACACCACATTCATGATATGCGATTTGTCGCATATCATGATATGCGATTTATCTAAACGGGGTGATCTATATGAGCAATCAACATTCCTACTGGGTACGAAGCTAATAATTTTCTAGAGGATTTGAGGTACCTTGACAAATGGTAAGCTCCCTTATGATGAATCACATGGTTTCTTACAAAGTTATTGTGTTCAAGGTCAAGGACTTGTCAATCACTCAAATCCAGCTTTACCATGTCTCCATCAAAACGAACAGAAACCTTTTAGAGAGGAAATTGCAAAGCTTGTTTGCCCGTTTGAAGCACAAAGGCGGCAATCCCGAAGGTTGCTGATTTGAATCTAGCGCCTGAGCTGTGAGAATACACAGCCCTCCGTTTGCTGAGCCACTGCGACAATCCCGGGAAACCCTTTTCATGGCGATGTACGATGGCGTTGCGAAAGGCTTCTGCGAACAGTCGTCTGCCTTTTAGCACGGTTGCAACAATAGCTTCGCAAAAAACGGCTATAAAAACTGTGGCGGGAAACTGCTGCGCCTCGACGTACTCACGAACCTCAAACTCACCGACACCGAGAGAACATTCCCATACCTCCCACCCCGCTGATTTCGCCTGACGCGGTTCCACCAAAATCCCGAACCTGAACCCCAGCGAAAGACGCTTTGAGATCCGTCCACACGCCTCGATGCTTGTTTTCCCACCGTTCGATTCGTGTGACGTGGCACGCTAACGAGTAGACAGCGAGACAGGGCGAGGCTGGAACTTCATGGTCAGGCAGACGAGGCTTGCGGGCGTGGGGATGAGGGTCTGAGCGGGCGAGGCCGGAGTGCAGTAGAAATGGGGTCCCTACGGTTGGATCTAATCATTCTCAACTTCTCAGAGATTTCCGTGTTGGATTGGAAACTTGAATAAAGGCATCTCTACTCTGCTACCTCTGCATCAGCTAACGACCTTATTGTTAAACACCTTCCAGCGATCAGCCTTTGTCAGACGACTTCCTAACAGCCGAGTAAAATGGCATTCTATGCTGATAACTTCTCTGCTAACTCTGCTTTTCAAACCTCGAGCAGTCCTGCAACGCCAACCAGAGGCATTGGCAGGTTCGGAACCCCTCGGACCGTGTTCTCGCCTGCAGCGTACTCTCCTGTGAAGGCTGCTGCTTGCACCGACAACGGTGAGACGTGCTGCAGCAGCGTGCTTCTGAAGAGCGTGAGGCCGCTGCTGGAGAAACTGGCCCAAGGCGCTGCTGACGGGCAACACAAGCCCGCCAAGGTGCACGTAGCTGACGCACCTGACGTGAAGCGGCCTGGAATCGGCCGCTTCGGAGGCAAGCCTGCTGCTGCCGTGCTTGCACCTGTGGTCGTCGCTGCTGCTCCCGTCACACCGTCTGCTGTGGTTGCGCCTGTGGTGGTGCCTGAGGTAGCGCCTGTGGCTCCAGTGGCTTCAACCACACCACAGGTGCCTGAAGCGCGTGTGACCACAGAAACGATATCCGTGGAGGCGAGTGCACGTGCTGCTGATCCGAGTGAGAAAGCGAGGTGGTCGAAGCTGCGTCAGGAGGTCAAAGCCATGGATATTGCGATGACGCGTGCTGCTTACCTGAGGTGGGACAAGCTGAGCAAGGAGGCATCATGGGCCATGGAGATTGAAGCGGCCATTGAAGCCGCCCTGCGTTCCTGCTTCGTGCCCAAGAATCCTACTGCTGTGGCGAATCGGACTTGCAAAACCATGCCTCCTGCATCTGCAGCAGCAGCGACTGTAGCAGTGTCCGCAGCACCAGCTGCTCCCTCGCTAGCAGCTACAAAAACAGAGGAATCACCTGCTGTGGCATCACCAGTGAGAGAAGCTTCAGCAGCAGCTCAGAAGCCAAAGCCTGCCGTTGCAGCAAGGTGCAAGGTGGGGGTTGAAAGGGCCAAGGGCAAGAATGGGTGCAGCAGCAAGGTGGTGATCATGGGTGTGAAGGGTGGTAACGGCAACAACATGCATGCAAGATCTGCCCCATGTGCGGCAGCAGCAGCAGTTGTGGGATCACGTGGTGGTGCATCATCAGTGAGAGCAGCTGGCAAGGCCAGCAGCAGACACGCGAGTGGGGTGAAGAGGAGAGAGGAGGGTGGGTGTGGGGAGGGAGCAGCAGGGAGGGCAGCAGGTGGAAGGCAGGGTGGTGTGAAGGCAGCAGGTGGCAGAGCAGTGGCAAGTGGCGTGTGTGGCAGGGAGGGGGTGAAGCAGCAGGCGGGGAGGAGAGAGAGTTTGGTGGATGAGAGGGAGGTCAGGCCAGGCTGCCGCAGCAGCAGGGCGCACAGAAGGAGCTCCTGAAAGCGCCGGCATAGAAGTGGCTGCTCTCAGCATGAGAACATTCCGGAGGAATATGGGCTGTACATACATGGGTGTAACACTGAAGGGTGTGCTAGAACAATGGTGTGGTGACAATGGAACAACTCCCAGCTGCTGTTAGGAATATGTGATGACCTGTAGCCCTGTAGGTAGCACTATGCACACTGTATATTAGTAGAAAATGCTAGTACATGTAATTTGCTAATAAATTGCATTTCAAAATCTGTGTTTCATCTGGGTGGCAGAAGTGCAGTTCACCAGGAAGATTGCAGCGGCACACTAAAGCAGGGCACCATTTCGAGACCTTGATTTGGTGCCGGATCGTTTTATGTTGATCGAGACCTTGAGAGCAGAGGGTGCCAGAGGATCATGCGGTGTAGATTGATAGCTTGTGAGCAGAACAGCCCCCACCTGTTGTGTTAAACATCTTGACACTAACTTCCATCTGTGCCTGCATGTGCGTGAATGTGCATGAATGTGTATACATGGTTACATGAGTTGATTGATAGGTGCATGGATGAATGAGTGCATAGATGTATGTGTGTGTGGGTGGATGGGTGTGGTGCATAGGCGTATGGGTGCATGTGTGTCAGTGCATGGGTGTGCGGGCCCATGGTGCCTGAGTGGATGGGTTCAAGAGTGCATATGTGCATGGGTGCATGGTTCGCATAGCAGATGCAAGGCATGGGGTTCAGTGATGTGACAGAGGACCTCGGATGGAGGGCAGCAAGGGGTGTTTCAGGGATGAAGAAATAGTTTCTCAAATGGGGAGGTGAAGAAAGTGAGAGAGGGGTGAGTATGGTGTTGGGAGGTCCTGAGAGAACGAAAGCAGCAGAGTTATGGGAGAGAACGGGAGGTGGTGAATGAAGGGAAGCAGAGGGCAGAAGGTTGGGAGGTTGGAGAGGAAGAGAGCGATTCACATGGGTGAGTTGCTGGTGGCCAGCTTCCCTGCTGATGAGGAGTGAAGGAACAAGTGAGATGGCAAGCAGGCAGCGACTGGCAAGACAAAGGTGACGGAGATGGCAAGCAGGTAGCAACTGGCAAGCAGGTAGCAACTGGCAAGCAGGTAGCAACTGGCAAGCAGGTAGCAACTGGCAAGCAGGTAGCAACTGGCAAGCAGGTAGCAACTGGCAAGCAGGTAGCAACTGGTAAGCAGGTAGCAACTGGCAAGCAGGTAGCAACTGGCAAGCAGGTAGCAACTGGCAAGCAGGTAGCAACTGGCAAGCAGGTAGCAACTGGCAAGCAGGTAGCAACTGGCAAGCAGGTAGCAACTGACAAGCAGGTAGCAACTGGCAAGCAGGTAGCAACTGGCAAGCAGGTAGCAACTGGCAAGCAGGTAGCAACTGGCAAGCAGGTAGCAACTGGCAAGCAGGTAGCAACTGGCAAGCAGGTAGCAACTGGCAAGCAGGTAGCAACTGGCAAGCAGGTAGCAACTGGCAATCAGGTAGCAACTGGCAAGCAGGTAGCAACTGGCAAGCAGGTAGCAACTGGCAAGCAGGTAGCAACTGGCAAGCAGGTAGCAACTGGCAAGCAGGTAGCAACTGGCAATCAGGTAGCAACTGGCAAGCAGGGAGCAACTGGCAAGCAGGTAGCAACTGGCAAGCAGGTAGCGACTGGCAAGCAGGAAGTAACGGAGATGGCAAGTGGGACGACAAATGAAATGGCAGCTCAGATGACAAGTGCTATGTAATCCGAAATGGCAACTAAGGTGGCAAGTGAGACATCAGATGGGAACTGAAATGGAAATTGAGATGAAAACTGAGATTTCAACTAGCATGGCCATTGAGAAGGCTATTGAGATGGAAAGATTGATTGTGAACAGAGAAGTAAATTAGAATAGCATGTGGAATGGCAATTGAGTAGGCAACATAAATACAACTGAAATAGCTACCGAGACAGCAATTGATACGGCAACTGTAACGGCAAGTGAAATGGCAAATGACATGGCAATTGAGATGGCAACTGAGTTTTAACCTGACACGGCAACAGTTGGGTTAGGAATGGTTGGGATGGGATTGGATGGGATGGGGTGGGACGGGACGGGATGGGATGGGATGGGATGGGATGGGATGGGATGGGATGGGATGGGATGGGATGGGATGGGATGGGATGGGATGGAATGGGATGGGATGGGATGGGATGGGATGGGATGGGATGGGATGGGATGGGATGGGATGGGATGGGATGGGATGGGATGAGATGGGATGGGATGGGATGGAATGGGATGGGATGGGATGGGATGGGATAGGATGGGATGGGATGGGATGGGATGGGATGGGATGGGATGGGATGGGATGGGATGGGATGGAATGGGCTTCCAAGCTTGGTGACACGTGCGATGCCATTGCTGTGGACTGACTAGGCGTCCAACCTAGCTCAATGCAACAGCCCCTCCACCACCTCTGCACACACCTGCCCCATCATATGGCACACACCTGCCCCATCATATGGCACACACCTGCCCCAGCATATGGCACACACCTGCCCCATCATATGGCACACACCTGCCCCATCATATGGCACACACCTGCCCCATCACCTGGGGGACCTTGATAGTGCCACCCTGGTGGGGGCCTCTCTGTGGGGCCCACTGACGCGCACCTCTCTGAGGAACACTGTGGGACCAAGGCAGCATCTTGCGCACTGTGGCGTGGGTGGATGGTGTGCGTGTGACATAAGAGTCAAGAAGGATTCTATCAGGTCAGTTGAAGGTTTGTGTTATGGCATTAAAATGTGTGAGTGATTGCATGGGATGTTGTGAGTGATTGCATGGGATGGTGTGAGATTGTATGGGATGGTGTGAGTGAGCGATTGTATGGGATGGTGTGAGTGATTGTATGGGATGGTGTGAGTGATTGCATGGGATGGTGTGAGTGATTGCATGGGATGGTGTGAGTGATTGCGTGGGATGGTGTGTGAGTGATATGGATGTGTGTGGTGGTATGTGATGGTGTGAGTGATTGTATGGGACTGTGTGGGGGATGGTATGTGTGAGTGAGATCGCATTACACAAAATGAGTGACTGCACCGGATGGTGTGTGTTAGTGAGATGGGATGAAATCGTCCGTGTGATGGTATGGGATGGTGTGTGAGTGAGTTGGCATGGATTTTGCCGTATGATGGCATGGTATGGATAATGGACCGTGTGCATGAGATGGCCTGATATGGGCTGTGTGGGGGTATGGCATGGTGTGTGTGAGTCCGACGGCATGAAATGCTCTGTGTGTGATGGCATCGGATGTTAAGTAACTGATATGGCATGCTATGGACCGGGTGATTGCATGGGGTGGTGTATGAGAGTGAGATGGTTTGATGTGGGCAAGGATGCCAACCGTTCAAAATCCCTCCGAAGCAGATTTGTCATGTTTCACCCTCGGCCCTCAGTTTGTGAACCAACTAGAGATTTCAACGCGTCATTACAAACCATAACCGGAGATATACTACCTACACAACCGAATGGCTCGTGTGCATTACTGTTACGGAGGTTGTGATGTGATTAAACGGTGGGTGGAATATCATAGGATTGAATGTGAGACGGGATGGGATGATGTGGGTTACTGATCACTCACCAGCAGTTCATTCATGTTCGCCGGTCAGCTAGTCCATGTGTCAAATGAGAATACTATTTGTTTGAATACACTAATTGTGTACATGACAGAAAGCAAAGCATAACGGTATATTATTTACAAATGATGCGAGATGCTCTACTCGTCATCGTTAATGAACTTCCCTGTACCGGGGTTGATAGCGGCGATGAAGAAGAAGGCGATACTGGCGAGCAGCAGCGGCTCCAGCTCCCACACGGGCAAGCCAGTCTCGATATTCAGCTGCGCCAGCGCGCCTCGCCCGGTGATCACCTCGCCCACCAGGCTCGCCGCGAACCCCAGTTGCGCCATGCGCCCCACGAACAGCTCGTTCGCCTTGGTAAACCCGAACAGCGGCCCCTCCTCGCTCAACCCCAGCGCCGCCTTCACGCTCCCCGGCTTCACCGGCGGACCCGCCGGCGCCTCGTCGTCCACGAATCGCCCGCGGTCGCCCAGCCCGCCGATGGCGCCGAGCACGGTGAATGCGATGAAGAAGAGCAGAAGCGGCTCGGCTTCCGTGATGGGGATGCCCGTCTCCAGGTTCAGTTGCGAAAGGATTCCCTGCCCGGTTACCGCCTCGCCCAGCAGCGACGCGGCGAATCCGAGCATCGCCACGCGCCCCACGAAGAGCTCGTTGGCTTTCGTGAAGCCGAAACCGCCGGATGTGCCGAAGATGCCGTCTTCGGTGCGCAGTTGCTTCTTAGCGGGAACGGTCTTAGCGGGGATGGCGGCCTTGTTGAAACGGAGGAGGGCTGTCACGCCAAGGCCGCGGGGAGCGACGATGGGAGCTACTGCTACGCGATTGGCGGAGAGAGAAGCTCCCTTCACTGCTGTGCTGAAGGAAAGCGCGGCGAGAGAATGCTGTGCGACGAGGGAGGAAGCCATTGTGATAAAAATTGAGAATGTGATGACGAGAGACGTGAGACGGAGAGAAAGCAATTAAGAAGATTGGTAGGCAGGTGATCGCACTGGAATAATTGGAGCGATACGAGCGGGTGAATTTATCCGCTTGCCAAGCCGCAATCGAAACCGACTGTCGAGCGGGTCGGAAGCTCGATACCAGAATGAAAGCAGAAATACATCGTGAGACGTGGCTGCCTAACCGAAGCGCCACGGTGGATTCTCGGCTTCATTCCTGCGACAAATGCCAGCCGCGTGGCCTTGTTTTTGTCACCAATAGTGGCACGTCAGATCTCTGAAAGGTAGGGCTGAAAGGATCTGACGTGTCTTCTAGAACCTTAATGGGACAATCGAGCACCGAATGGAGAGTGTCGCTGGCATTGACCATCTGTGACCTGATTTCCTGGACGGAATGGGATGGGTGTTTCGCACACCAATTTAGGTTCACTCATTTTTTTTACAAGGTATCGTACTTGCATATTTTATTGTTTAGTTCAGGATACCCACTCTGGTATGGCATGTGAGATGAGTGCAAATCAGCAAACATAAACACAGCTAGAATGACTCGGTTTCTTCCTCTCTGTACAATGCAGGTATAATTCTGTTGTCTGGTACGCCCCCTAGGTGCCCTGAGTCATCGCATCACAGGAGTTTAGATAAAATTTACTAGCAGTAATCTATATGTTATCAATACCGTATGGCCCCGGATATAAGCGCAGGCCTATTATAAGCGCATGCGCTTGTATCTGGAGCAATGCGCTTATGGCCGATCCTCATTTATAAGCGCACCCCCTGTAAAACCTTGATTTATTATAAGCGCACGTATAATTCTAAAATTTAAACCAGATTAAAACGGTAGCGATTTCAAATTTTGCAGTGAGGATACAACTATTTTCGCTTCGATTGACTTTCGAGGACCTCACATACTGCGCGTCCAGTCAGTATGAGCTGGCATTTCTGATAGTGACGTGTAACCTTTCCTCTGTGCGCCGGCAGAAAATCGCTCACGCGCGAATCTGAATTGCGACTCGCTACCACTTCGATTCGATTGAAATCACAAGAAGGATATGTACAGTTTGGTGCCAATGAATTATAAATTTGCATTTGTTATTATATAAGCGCATGCGCTTATAAATCTGACTCAATTATAAGCGCACCCCCCCAAAAAACACTGTTTTATTATAAGCGCAGGTGCGCTTATATCCGGGGTATTACGGTGGCGATGTGACAATGTCACAACTCCCATCAGCTACTAATTGCATCCTCGGTAGACAGACAAGTTTCTTTTAAGCCACTTTACATGAACAACAGACCTAATTAATCAAGGCACTGTTTCATGCGCATGCACGCATCACTTGGCCTGTGGGTGCGATGCAATGTAAGCGATGGCATCGGCACAAGATTGGATTTTATCGGCATCGGCATCGGGGATCTCGACAGCAAACTCCTCCTCAAACGCCATCACCACCTCCACCCCGTCTAGCGAGTCCAGCCCCAGGTCCTTCTGGAAGCTCGCCGTGGGGGTCACCTGCATCGGGGGCAGCACGGTTACACAGTTACACAAGGCATGAGGCGGGGAAGGGGCAGGAATGGAATCATCACATCCACTCCGTCTAGAGATTCTGGCCCCAGGTCCTTCTGGAAGCTTGCGGTGGGGTTCACCTGGATGCCTACAGTTATACAAGGCGCGAGGGGGGAAAGGGGACAGGACCTGCATCACCAGCTTCACCCAGAATGAATACGAAAGATTAGATGAAAACAAACAAAACACACTCCTGGTAAAAACAAGAACAAACAAGATTTGGGGAGAAGCAACGACTTGGTTGACACTTATGGCAATTGGGGAGGTGGGATGCTGCCCACGTGCCAATGCGTGGCGTTACCCTGAGCACATGGCGACACCACAGCAGTAAGGGCTGCTCATGTGGCAGCTTGGCAGTGGCCAGTGCTTGGCGAATGAGCAGCGGCGGTTGGGAGAAGAGGCTGAGAAGGATGGGGAATGGGAGGAGGAGAAGGAGGGGGAATGGGATGGGGGGGAAGGATGGGGTGAGCAGCAAGGGATGACAGGCGCAGCAAGGGCGGATGGCAGAAGCAACAAATTTGAGGGATGGGAAAAAAAATCAAACAAACAAACAAAGGGCAAAAATCAAAACTACAAGCAATGTGCTGTCTATAATGATTAATGAGGCTTCACCATCCTTCTGGGACTTGATATTCCTTATGAAACGTCAGGAATCATTCGAATCGAGAACATTAAGCAGGTACGATCTCCAAAATGTGAGTAATAGGAAATTATTTGAGCAGAACATGTGCACATCGATCTTTGTTTGTTAGGACAGCATCACTGTTCTATCCATCTTAGTGAGTATATCAGAAGTGCGGTAACAGATCTAGATAGAGAATCATCAGTAAGCAAATACGGTAAAGACTTAACAATCCGTTACCAAGAATGGCTTGTGCATTGGCTTGGCATAGTATGTGAGCGATGGCATAGGGTGCGTATGATCGCATGGTATGGTGTGTGCAATGGCATGGCATGTCGTGTGAGATGGCATGAAGCAGTGGGCGCAGGACATGATGATGATGTGTGGACATCGCTCGTGGCTTCCAGGCGACAGTTGTACAGGCAAGGGAACACACCATGTGGCATACCAGCATAGCAGCATGGCATGGCACAGCAGCATATCAGCATGGCATGGCATAGCGGCATGGCATGGCACAGCAGCAGCTGAGCCGACATACCAGCTGTTGGCATGGCGTTACTTGGCAGAGAAGCACAGCACACCAAGTCACTGCAGGAGGCGGCGCATCTGACACGAACGAAGGGTGCCGAGGGCAGGGGGGGCGAGGATGGGGGAGAATGGGAGGGGATGAGGGAGAATGGGAGGGGATGGGGGAGAATGGGAGGGGATGGGGGAGAATGGGAGGGGATGAGGGAGAATGGGAGGGGATGGGGGAAAATAGGAGGGGATGGGGGAGAATGGGAGGGGATGGGGGAGATGATGAAACGGAGAGGAGGGGCAGGGCGAAAAGCAAGGGAGAGGTGCGCGGGGAGGGGAGGGAAGGAGAGGGTGAGCGAGGGAGGTTGAGGTGGGTGAGGGAGGGTGCTGTGGGTGGAGGGCATGTGAGTTACATGCATGTACCGCTTCATGTGATGCCATGTGTATGTAACATGCATGTTAACATGTGCAGCGCACGTGTTTGGATCGCATGCATGAGCATGTGAGCATGCAGGAGAGGACCTGACTTCAGATCACATCACGTTGATGTCAAATGGAGCAGATGATGTCGGCATGATGTCAGCAGACCTCAAGACACAAACGCAAATCACAACCACCCGGAAATCGCAATTCGTGAGCGCTTCTTGTTGGTTCGCAACTCTCTCGCTCCCTCCCATCACTGCAACAGCCCTCCTATGCAAAGGAGCCCTTAGTGCACTGCCTCCCTCGCTCCCCCCTCTCCCCCCTTCACCTTCCAAAACCGCCTCACCACTTGAGAAAGTTCCCAGAAGGTTTCATGTCGCGTAGGCTCCGCACCACTGGCTTGTGCTGCCTGCGCACCAAACTGACCACTAGATCTGCCTGCGCAAATGCCGCCATCGTGCCAGCACTTCCCTCCGCGCAACCCTGCCACTTTCCCTTGTCTCACGTGCCACGTCAGCCGCCACGTCAGCGACCGCGTCAGCATGAAAGCACGACAGGAGGGAGAGGGCGCTGGGAACTGAAGCAACGGCCAATCCACAACTGCTGGCATCCCTCCCTCCATCCCCTCTGAGTTTTCCGCCGCATCCAAGCCAAGGCCTTCTCCGCTCCTTCCGCTCCGCCCTTTCTTCCCCTTTTGCGACCTTTGCTCTCAAACCTTCTTCTCTATCTCGCATCTTCCCTCCTCCTCCTTTTTCGGCTCCTTCCGTTCCGTCCGCCCGTCCTGATATCTGCACTCCCGTCTTCGCCCGCTCACCTCGTCGCGCGCTCACCCTCATTTCAAGCCTGCGAGTCGGTTGGGGCGATCTGATTGGGCTAGGGTCTTAGGCTCGGACGCGATCAAATTGGACATGACGGCCACGCTCCGGCTGGGAGACGGCTAATGCTGAGGGCTGCTTGAGAGTTCGCATAGTCCCGCCTGCATGAACGGCGGGACTGCAGCGTGAAACCCGCATTTTGAAAGTGAAACCCTGGAAACGGTTGTCTTGAGATCGCTTGTACGATTACTTCAATTCCTACTCGTAACCAAGGCTCGTAATTCTCTCCTGTGCTCGCAATCGCTTCTGCGCTCGTAATCGCTTCTGCGATCGTAATCGCTTCTGCGCTCGTAATCTCTTACGCGCTCGTAATCTCTGGCGCGCTGCGCGCTCGTAATCGCCTGCACGCTCGTTATCGCCTGCGGGCTCGTAATCGCCTGCATGGTGCTCTGCTCTCGTGACTGCTTGTGATTCACATTCGTATCATGGCTGGCTGCTCCGACCTCCGACTGATCACGCCTGACTGCCCTCGTAAACCGCGAACAACACTTGACATCGCTTTGTACCGCACAGACAAAGCGATGATCAAGCACATTCCAAATTCCAAAATCGGTGTATCGAACCTCGCAGATAGAAATCCGATGAATCCAAAATCCGTGTATCCGACCTAAGCATTTCGAACTGAATTCCCCCTGAATGATAAGACGACTGCATATAAAGAGGACTCCACAGTATCCACTGGAAAAGGGACTCGCTTCCCCATCGATCGGGGGTATCGATTCGGTCACCGCACGGAACCTTGCATTTTGGACAAAAAAGGTACACAACCTTTTATAACCGCGCTAGAAAACGATCCTGTCGATCGATTCTCCACTTTCACCGCGTCCTCAGTAGCACAACACGGCCCAAACCCTTCTGCCTCACACACCATGCTACGAGAGGAAACCGATAGACCCGTCGCGTTATCGTTGTGCGAAGTTTTTTACCGAAAATCGTATCCAAACGGTTTGTTGTAACAAATTTCGTAGGAACGGCTAGGGAAGAAATCGAGAACAAAATAAAGGCGGGAAACTGGCGAGGCGACTCGAGGTACTCAAGGACCTGAAACCCACCGACACCGACAGGTTCTCCCCGAACCTCCCACCCCCGCTTATTATCCCTGACGCGGCGCCATCGAGATCCCGAACCTGAACCCCAGCGAAATACGCCTTGAGATCCGTCCGCACACCTTGCTGCTTCATCTCCTACCGTTCGATTTCCGACACGTGGCATGCGTACGAGTAGACAGCAAAGCAGGCCAAGGCTGGAACTCCGATGTTCAGGCAGACAAGGCATGTGGGGGTGGAGACGGGGGGGTTCGAGCAGGCGAGGACGGAGTGCAGAAATGGGGTCGCCAGAGTTGAAACTTATCATTCCCACTTCTTCTGCCGTTATCTCAATCTGCAGTGAACAAACTTCTCGAAGTTCAGCCTTTGTCCAACGATCAGCTTCTGTTCAGCGATCTGCAGTCAAGTAACATGGCCTCTCTCGTCGATATTAACTCTGTTTCTCGAACCGCGAGCAATCCTGCAACGCCTACGAGAGGCATTGGCAGGTTTGGAACCCCGCGAACCGTTTTCTCGCCTGTAAGATACTCTACTGCCAAGCCTGCTGCTTGCAATGGTGACGGTGAGACGTGCTGGAGCAGCGTGCTCCTGAAGAGCGTGAGACCGCTGCTGGAGAAACTGGCCTTCCAAGGCGTCTCTGACGGGCAACACAAGCCCGCCAAGGTGCACGTTGTACCTGACGCGCCTGATGTGAAGCGGCCTGGAATTGGCCGCTTCGGAGGCAAGCCTGCTGCTGCCGTGCTTGCACCTTTGGTTGTCACAGCTGCTCCCACACCATCTGCTGCTACTGCAGTCACTCCATCTGCTGTGGTTGCGCCTGTGGTGGTGCCTGAGGTAGCGCCTGTGGCTCCAGTGGCCTCAACAACACCACAGGTGCCCACAGAAACAATATCCGAGGAGGCGTGTGCACGTGTTGCTGATCCGAGTGAGAAAGCGAGGTGGTCTAAGCTGCGTCAGGAGGTTCGAGCAATGGATAGTGAATGGGCCAAAAAGCTGAGAGCACGTGCTGCTTACCTGAGATGGGCCAAGCTGGACCAGGCGACGTGGGCCAGGGACATTGAAGCCGCCATTGAAGCTTCCCTGCCTGCCTGGATCGTGTCTGGCAAAATTGTTGCTCCTGCATCTGCAGCAGCATGGAGTGTAGCAGAGCCTGCACCACCAGCTGCTCCCTCTGCAGCAGCTGCAGCAGTGAAGTCACCTGCTGTGGCATCAGCAGTGAGTGGGGCTGTGGATTGTGAGTGGGCCAAAAATTTGAGAGCACGTGCTGCTTACCTGAGATGGGCCAAGCTGGACCAGGCGACGTGGGCCAGGGATATTGAAGCCGCCATTGAAGCTTCCCTGCCTGCCTGGATTGCGGCTGGCAAAACCGTCCCCCCTGCATCTGCAGCAGCAGCGACTGTAGCAGAGTCCGCAGCACCAGCTTCTCCCGCGCCAGCAGCAACAACAACACTGAAATCACCTGCTGCGGCATCGCCAGTGAGAGGAGCAGTAGCAGCAGCACAGGAGTCGAGTCCCGCTGTTGCAGCAAGGTGCAAGGTGGGGGTTAAAACCGTGAAGGGCAAGAATGGGTGCAGCAGCAAGGCGGTGAGGACTGGCGTGAAGGGTGGTAAGGGCAGCAGCACGCATGCAGGGTCTGTAGCAGCAGCAGCAGCAGCAGCAGCAATTGCGGGATCATCATCAGTGAGAGCTGCTGACAATGCCAGCAGCAGGCACACGAGTGGGGTGAAGAGGAGAGAGGGATGTGGGTGTGGAGTGGAGGCGGCAGGGAGGGCAGCAGGTGGAAGGCAGGGTGGTGTGAAGGCGGCAGGTGGCAGAGCAGTGGAAAATGGCGTGTGTGGCAGGGAGGGGGTGAAGCAGCATGCGGGGAGGAGAGAGGGTCTGGTGCATGAGAGGCAGGCGAGGCCAGGCTGCAGCAGCAGCAGCAGGGCGCACAGAAGGAGCTCCTGAAAGAGACGCCGTTGCAGTGGTTGCTCTCAGCATGAGAACATACATGGTTACAACACTGAAGAGTGTGCTGGAACAATGGTGACACTAATTTAACAACTTCCAGCTACTGTTGGGAATATGTGATGACTTGTAAAAAGCACTAGTATGTGCTCTGTATTATAGTATGACATGTTAATGCCTCCCTCTAGGAGATTGTAATCTCAAAGTAAATTGCTTAATAACATTCTTCTGCCTATAAGCTGTGCAGCTCGCCAATAAGAGTGCAGGCCCACACTGCGCAAGGGTGCGTCACCACACTAAAGCTTTGGGTCACAACCAATGTAGTTCAACACACACGGGTCATTTTAGTATTGGCTCAGTATGTCGGTCGAGATCTAGAGAGCAGAGGGTCCAACCAGAGAATCATGAAGTGTACATTGATAGCTTTTGAATAGAACAACTCCCAGCTGCTGTACATGATTAAAAAACCTCCTGTTGTACCGTACCTGCACTGGAACGTGTGTACATGGATTAATGGGTGCATGGATTCATGGGTGTTTGTGTGCATACGTGTATACCGTACATAGGTGCATAGGTGCATGGGTCAATCGGTGCATGGGTGCATGGGTACATCGTGCACATGTGTATGGGTACGGGTGTATGGGTGCACGGGTGTATGGGTGCATGGTTTCAGGGTCACATAGCAGAAGCATGATATTGGGCGGATTGATGAAGCTCAGAATCTCATACGTACATGGGTTCATGGGGTGCATCGGGGCATGCTGCAAGGGTGTGTGGGTGCATGGGTGTGTGGGTGCATGGGTGGATGGGTCCATGGGTGGATGGGTGCATGAGTGGATGGGTGCATGAGTGGATGGGTGCATGAGTGGATGGGTGCATGAGTGGTTGGGTGCATGAGTGGATGGGTGCATGAGTGGAGGTGCAAGCGTGCATGGGTGCATGGTGGGTCACATAGCAGATGCAAGGCATAGGGTTGAGTGAAGAGACTGAGAACCTTGGATGGAGGGGAGCAAGGAGAGAGAGTGTTTCTGGAGTAAAGAAATCGTTTCCAATTGGGGAAGTGAAGTGAATGAGAGAGTAGTGAGTATGGGGAGTGGTGTTGGGAGGAGGGGAGAGTACGGAAGCAGCAGATCCAAGGGAGAGAATGCGAGGGGTTGAGTGAAGGGAAGCTAATGAAGAGGGCAGGGGGTTGAGAGGTTGGCGAGAGAGAGCAAGTAGTCCAAAGGGGCATGTTGCTGGTAACCAGCAAGTGAGATGGCAACAGAAATTGCAACTGAAATGGTAAGTGAGATGGAAATTCAAATTTGCAGCTGAAATGGCAACAGAAATGGCAACTGAAATACAAATGAAGTTGCACCTGAGATTTCAACTGAAGTGCCCATTGAGATCGCACCTGGGTTGGCACCCAGAATAGCATCGATGGAAACTCAGGTGGCAACTGATTTTTACAAGACGGAAACAGAAATGGCACCTGAAAGGGCAATTGAAATTGCAACTGAAAAGGCAACTCAAATGGCGACTGAGATGGTATGCAAATCGTGAGAGGAAGAGAACGGGACTTCTGTGAATGATGTAAGCAGCTGAGGCGAGGCAACTCATGGAGAATGGAATGTGATGGGATGTAATATAATGGGCTGATTGATGGGATGGGATGGATGGGATGGGATGGGATGGGATGGGATGGGATGGGATGGGATGGGAACTGAGATCATAACAACAAAAACACCGGAACTTTAAAATAATAACAGCAGTTTCCTTGAAAAGCACACACACATAGCGGTTCAGAAACATTAAAAAAAAAAATCTTGCTCAGAACATCTATGCCCTGGCTTTGACCAACTAAGCCTCCTATCTCAATACTACAGCATCTCCACCTGAGAACACACCTGGCCGGTCATGGCATCCCACACACCTGAATAAAACAGCCCTCCCTCCATCTAACCCACAAAGAATCCCACACACCTACCCCAACACCAGAGCACACACCTGGACGGTCATGGCATGCCATGGGTGCATGACGAGATTCCTTGAATTTGCCGCAGTGATGCGCACCTCTCTGTGGGGCACTGTGTAAGAAAGGCATAATCCCTTGCGCAGTGTTAAGGAATAATCTGTGCTGGGATGGCACTATATTGGTCAGTGAAGCTTGTGTAACGGCATTGGATGGTATGTGTGGTGGTTTGGGTTGTGAATGTGATAGCATGGAATGGTGTGTGTGAGTGAGATGGCATGAAGTGATATGTGGGATGACATTGGGATGGTATGTGTGAGTGAGATGGCATGAAGTCTTCTGTGGAATGTTCTGTGTGAGTGACATTGGTGCTGTAACAATCACGGCCCTTATAACAACGGGCAACCGTGTGTTAAATATAAATCACCCTTGACAACATTTATAAAATCAAGATACAAGGCTTTCAAGATCAACTAATCCCACCAAGGGGTAATTTAGCCTTGACAGTACTCCTCAAGCTTGAGAGGAGAAAAGGGAGCTTGAAGAAGGTTGATGAAGCTTTAATAAGTAGGTAGGAGCTTCTTGTAGAGCTTGTCCTTGAAAAATCACAAGTCTAGTTGTGTAGGGGAGCTTATTAGGAGAACCCAAAAGACTTAGAGTAAAAATCCCATTTCCAAGTTAGATTGTTGGAGTTGGGAAGTGGGAATGAGCTTGAGAGCTCCAACCCCTTCCATCATACCCCTTGGGGCTTTTCCCAACCATGGCTTCCATGGTTGGGGAGCTAATAGGCTTGGAGCCTAGGTGGCAATATAGTTTGGTTTGGGAAAAACCCAACTTAGCACAATTGTATGGTTGTTTTAAGTTTGTGTGGATTGTAACAACAACTGGCACAACTTGATTGGTTGGAAATCCAACCTTTCCAATCTTCACTTTGATGGGTTGGAAGTTTCCAAGCCTCAAGGTTGAGGGTTGGGAAAACCAAACCAATGTTCTTCTCCAACTCAACCTTCCCGATTGCCTTCACGTCATTTCTCATCGAGGAAGTCTCTCGATGTTGACTTAGGAAGTTAGCGGTAGATGAGGCAGAGTAGGTTATGCGTTACACTCCTCCCCCCCTAGGTGGCAACGTCCCCGTTGCCTCAGGGTGCTTCTGAGGACGAGCGCTTCGAGTACGCCGTGTCACATTACGACCAGGGTCAACGCCCTCCACTGGTTGTGTGGCAGCTCGTCGAGCCAGGTCTGTCATGTATGACTGAACTGCAGTTTCAGTCAGATGCTCTTCTAGCTCCCATGAGTTGTGTTCAGGCCCATAGCCTTTCCACTTGATGAGGAACTCTCGTACTGTCTTTCGGACGCGTTGTCGATCACGATGCATTAGCACTCGTTCGACTTCATAAAACAGTTCCTCCCCCAGGACGATCGTTGGTGGCGATAAGTACTTGCCCTCTGCAACGTACTTGTTCAACAGAGACACATGGAAGACGTTGTGAATCTGTAAAGTGTCAGGTAGCTTAAGCTTGTAAGCTACCACACCAACACGCTTGATCACCTCGAAGGGCCCAATCCATCGAGGGAACAGCTTTCGTGCTCCAGGGATTTTGAGACGAATGTTCTTCGTGCTTAACAAAACTTTGTCTCCAACCTCAAACGAGACTTCCCGGTGTTTCATGTCGGCGTAAGACTTTTGTCGCTGCTGAGAGAGTTGTAGCCAATGGCGAGCAGACTTAAGCGCTTCTTGCTGCTTGCCAACAAAGTCTTTAGCGGCTGGAATTTTCAATCCGCCGATCCCATGCGTAGCAGGCGTTGTGGGATGCCGACCATAGTTCAGAATGAAAGGTTTCTCACGTGTACCTTCATGAACTGAATTGTTCACTGCGAATTCAACGACAGGCAACAACTCGTCCCAATCATCCTGAGTTGGGCCAATGAATGAACGAAGCATCTGCTCAAGTGTCCGGTTTGTTCGTTCCGTCTGCCCATCGGTTTGTGGGTGGAACGCCGATGACAACTTAAGCTTCGTTCCTAGTGTCCGTGTGACTTCTTGCCAGAACCGGCTTGTGAAGCGCGGATCCCGGTCGGACACCAATACACGTGGTAACCCGTGTAAGCGGAAAACGTGTGCCACAAACAATTTGGCCGTATCTTCCGCGGATACGTCAGTTGTAGTAGCCACGAAATGCACCATTTTTGTCAGACGATCCACAAACACTAGGATCGCTGTATGGCCATCACGAGTCTTAGGAAGGTCCGTGATAAAATCCAAGGATACGCTCTCCCAAGGTTCATTCGGGATCTCGAGTGGTTGAAGCAAACCACCAGGCTTCTTTGTGTCCGTTTTATTTCGTGCGCATGCGTCGCAGTGCGCCACGAATTGCTGGACCTCAGTGCCCAATCCCGGCCACCAGCATACCTCACTCAAGGCCCACCTGGTCTTTTTGACCCCTAGGTGCCCTCCGTACTTAGTGGCATGCGCTTCTTCCAGAATATCGTTCCGCAGGCTACCTACGTGAGGTACAACGATCTCCTTCTTACGCCACCAGAGCTCATGCTCCCACTTGAGTTCCTTAGTGTTTCGTGGGTCCTGAAACCAGGAGTCAATTTGATACCCTGTGCGGATGCGTTTCAGGAAACCACTGAAGGTAATCTCACTCACTCGAGCTGTTGCTAGGACACTGAAGCAAGCAGAAAATACTGCCGCATTCTCTGTGTCGTCTAGACGTGTTGCTGCCCCTATCGGCTGTCTGCTGAGGGGGTCAGCGAGGTTCGTCGAACCCGCTCGATATCGAATATCGAAGGTGAACCCACTAAGGAGTTCCGCCCATCGGGCTTGACGTCGAGTAAGCGTGGCTTGGGTGGAGAAGTAGGTGTTTGGACAGTGATCAGTCGTAACCACAAAGTCCACACCCTCTAGATAACATCGCCATGTTCGTAGCGCATGAACGACCGCCAACAGTTCTTGTTCGGACGTCGTATAGCGCTGCTCTGCCGGGGAGAGCTTTCGACTCTCAAATGCCACTGGTCTCCCTTATTGCAAGAGGACCGCCCTAATCCCAATCAATGAAGCGTCAGTAACAACCTCATAGGGCTTTGTCGGATCTGGTAAAACCAGAACCGGAGCATTGGTCAGCAATCGCTTGACCTCGTCGAATGCCTTTTGGCATTGTTGTGTCCATTGCCAAGCACTACTCTTGCGAGTGAGGGCCGTCAATGGGGCAACAACGGTAGAATAATTCTGCAAGAATCGACGAAAATAGTTCGCCAGTCCCAAAAACGACCTGATTTGACCCACATCTTGTGGTACCGGCCAGTTCTGGACTGCGACAACTTTCTTTGGGTCTACTTTGAGACCATCATTTCCCACGAGATGGCCAAGATATTCCAACTCGCGTTTGTAGAAATGGCACTTCCACAGACGAGCATAAAACTTATGCTCTCGAAGTTTCCCTAACACCCACTTAAGGTGTCGCGTGTGCTCCTCTTCCGTCCTGGAGTAAACCAAGATGTCATCCAGATAGACTAAAACGAACTGTCCAATCGCCTCGCGAAAGACTTCATTCATAGCTCTCTGAAAAGATGCGGGAGCATTGGTCAAGCCAAAGCTCAGCACTCGCCACTGAAAATGACCAAACGGCGATCGAAAAGCCGTCTTGGGTACATCTTCTTCGGTGATGCGCAATTGGTGATACCCCTGCGCGAGGTCCAATGCGCTGAACCACTGGGCACCCTGGAGTTTGTCGAACAGGTCCTCTATTCTCGGTAGGGGATACCTATTCTTCACCGTTATCTTGTTCAAAGCACGGTAGTCTACGCACATGCGTAACCCTCCGCCCTTCTTGTTCACGAACAAGATCGGCGCTCCGTAAGGTGATGCGCTTGGTTCAATCCATCCCTTCCTGAGGTACTCCTCAATTTGCTGTTTAGCCTCCTCGTACTCAGCTGGACTGAGGCGATATAGAGGTCTCAAAGGTGGGAGTTTTCCAGGCTCCACTGGGATGGTGTGACCGACAGCACGGTCCGGAGGAAGGCCATCTGGGATGGGCTCAAAAACCTCTGCAAACTCGTCCGCCAGTGCTTTCATCTGGGGCGGGAAATTCTCGACCCTAGGCATCTCGTGTTGAGCATTCTCAAGCTGTACCACAAAGAAGGTATCGGCTTGTCGAACATGCTGTCCGAACTCGTTTGCGAGCGCAAAACTCACATCGGGACGCTTCGACGTTTGCTGTTCGTTCGTGATCAAGTCCTTAGGCACTTTCCATTGGACTGTGTCACCATTCTTTGAGAATGAGACAGTATTGTCATGGAAATCGAGCTTGACTTCATTCGCTCGAAGCCAATCCATTCCAAGGACAAGGTCGACACCTGCGAGAAGGGGTAAAACATACGCGCGGATCTCTTCGTGATAACCCTCGATCTCCATGTTGATCCGTGTCTGCCCTTTGCTTGGGATGATGCTATCGTCACCAAGGCGAATGGGGCAAGACGGTCCTTCAACTAGGATCGTGCGTGCTGTAACCCACTTTTCGTCAAAGAGGGAAACAGTTGCACCCGTGTCAACAAGGATTTTTGCATTATCCCCGTTCACGCTACCCGCAAGCAACAAATTTTGTTGATGCTTTGGGTGAATAGGACATGCCACAATACTCGTCGAAGGTTTGAAGTACACCTTGACGTTGTGACAAGCGCGTCCATGTGACTGAGATTTGGTCCACCACACATGGTGTCCCTTGTCCCACGCCGCTAGGACCGGCCATCCACGAAGCACATGGAACAATTCGCCTTTCACTGTGCGAGTCACCAACGCAACCGAAGTCAGGGGGTGCTCTTGAGTGCAACGACTCACAATCTCAATGACAGAACGCAGAATGTCCAAACCTCAGAAAATAATTGAAAATTTATCTTGCATTGCTTCCATGGAAATTTTCTCAAGTGGGTACGATCGAGGATAAAAAACGGAGTTTTTATTAAAAGAAGAGGCAAACAAACAAGAGATTTTGCAATTAGCAAGCTTCTCTAGTTTTAATATATCATCATCACATAGCACATATGCCTCATTCACTCGATCTACTCCTCCAACTAGGTACCCACACCCTAGTTGGGCTTATGAAAATCCTTCTTTCTAGAAGGTCTAGCTCCGCCTGGCTTAGGCTTCCCAGAATACTTGATAGCATTCTTATCACGGCATTGCTTTATGACGTGCCCCATCCTTCCACAGCCTCTGCACTGCTTGTCGGAGAAGTCCGGCTTGTTAGGTCTATGACCTCCCCCTCCGTTAGGCCTCTTGGCCTGTGGGCCAGGCTGGTGATCACGCTGCTGGAAAGGCCTTTTGTTCCAACCGCTACCACCCTTCGCACTCTGGGGCCGGTTCCCATGACCACCAGAGCCCTCAGCACGGGGCTGCAGGCTTGTCTTTTCAGGGCCAAAAATGTACGTGCGAATGATGTTGTCGGTTTTGATCACCTCCTCCTTCATCTCCTTGTAAGTCGTCCAATTGGTCATGCCGCCGGTCATGTGTGCCTGCTGCAGGTTGACAGGGAGGCCCTTCATGAAGATGTGCATCATCTCCTCCTCAGCCAAGGGCTTTTGGAGCAAGCGTGCTGCGGCCTCAAACTCGACCGCATATTCCTGCACAGAACGGTCATAACACTTGATACGCTCGAGGCGTCCGCGCAGTTCCAGGTCGGACTTTTTGACCATGAATGCCTCTTTCAGCGCGGTGCAGAACTCCGGCCATTCAAATGGTCCCTGTGCCTGCTTCTTAGCACCGTACACGGCCCTGCGGGCCACCTCGTCCAATGCCTGAGTAGCTGCAGCGACGCGAGCCTCGGGGCGCACATTTGCAAGGATCATGGTGGAATCCACCAGGTCGAGCCAAGGCTGCACCTCCGTCTTGTTATGGTTAAATTCAGGCAGAGGCGCCGCGAGAGACCCAAAGGGCGAGGTCTCAGTTGGAGGTGGCTGATGCATAGCCGTCGCAGCACCTACCGCCGGGGGTGCGGGCGGAGCGGGTGCCGGCTGAGCAGCAGGAGCGGATCTACACCCCGGAGGAGGTTCGTAAATACCCTCCCTCCTAAGGTGTGTCAACTGCTCATTGAGCTTGTTGAACGATGCTCGCAGATTCGAGCAAGTCTTCAGAACCACTCAATTTGGCGTTTTTTGGTGCCCAGGCTGCGACGGAACTCTGTAACCTCCTTCATGGTAATGCTCAGTCTAGCCTCGAGGTTCTGAGTGTGCTTCTTGAGTCCATCAATGGACGTCTGCTACAGCAGGATGGTGATATTCTGAGTTGCCACCTTAGCCTGGAGTTGGACAATCTCCTCGGAGATAGGATAAGTCGTGCCTTCACCCTCAGTGAAGTCATTTTCATCACCAGTGGCCTCCTTTCCACTGGTGTTATCCTCTTCCCCAAGGTTGTCAGCGCCACCATGGTTCTCAGCTTCACCATGGTGCTCAGCTTCATCATGGTTCTCAGCTTCACCATGGTTATGCTCATCTCCAAGGTCCAGGTCCAAGTCCTCAATATCATCCAACTCAATGTCAGCCATTGCCTCATCTTGATTGAGGTCAATCTCAGCAGCATTGTTCACCACCTCATTAGGTGCAGTGGGCCCTTCCTCCCTTGCCATATCCTTCTCTTGGCCAGATGCCATAAGGATTAAGGGAGCTTGTAAGATCTGGGTTGATTCTGTTAAAGTCTTTTTACCACATCAATGGTAAAGCAAGAAATTCTTATAAAAGAAATTTCTTCTACAGAATAATCCAAGTTACCCAAGGTAACAGATTTGTTGTCAAGCACTCCCAATCACCTAAGTGAAAGGGCAGGGTCTATCCAAATCTCAATGAAGAGAACTTGTATAACCCTCAACAAATCCTCCAGATCCAAGTTTATACTCCACTACTCAATAGTAGAGAGTCTTCCACCAAAAGGTGGGCAAGAGAGATAAATCTTTCTTCTTAGCTTGAAATTGCAGTTGTAGATCTTGTAGATCTTGAACTCTTCAAGCTTCCAGATCTTGAGTGTTCTCTTAAATAGAAACCACAACTCCAAGATCTATAAAAAAAAGAATCTCTAGGGGCAAAATCTCCACTAGGCTTAGGATAACCCTAGCTCTAGATACCAATGTAACAATCACGGCCCTTATAACAACGGGCAACCGTGTGTTAAATATAAATCACCCTTGACAACATTTATAAAATCAAGATACAAGGCTTTCAAGATCAACTAATCCCACCAAGGGGTAATTTAGCCTTAACAGTACTCCTCAAGCTTGAGAGGAGAAAAGGGAGCTTGAAGAAGGTTGATGAAGCTTTAATAAGTAGGTAGGAGCTTCTTGTAGAGCTTGTCCTTGAAAAATCACAAGTCTAGTTGTGTAGGGGAGCTTATTAGGAGAACCCAAAAGACTTAGAGTAAAAATCCCATTTCCAAGTTAGATTGTTGGAGTTGGGAAGTGGGAATGAGCTTGAGAGCTCCAACCCCTTCCATCATACCCCTTGGGGCTTTTCCCAACCATGGCTTCCATGGTTGGGGAGCTAATAGGCTTGGAGCCTAGGTGGCAATATAGTTTGGTTTGGGAAAAACCCAACTTAGCACAATTGTATGGTTGTTTTAAGTTTGTGTGGATTGTAACAACAACTGGCACAACTTGATTGGTTGGAAATCCAACCTTTCCAATCTTCACTTTGATGGGTTGGAAGTTTCCAAGCCTCAAGGTTGAGGGTTGGGAAAACCAAACCAATGTTCTTCTCCAACTCAACCTTCCCGATTGCCTTCACGTCATTTCTCATCGAGGAAGTCTCTCGATGTTGACTTAGGAAGTTAGCGGTAGATGAGGCAGAGTAGGTTATGCGTTATTGGTGCTGGTATGGGATGGTGAGAATGTGAGATGGCATGGAATGGGCGGTATAATTGCATGGGATGGTGCATGTGAAAGATGTGGCCTGATAAGGGCTGTGTGATGGCATGGGATAGTGTGACAAGTTGTGATGGAATGAGATGGCCTTTGATGGCATGGGCTGGTGCTATGCGTATGATTGCATGGAAAGCTGTTAGTGAGAGGATGGAGCAATGTGGTCAATGCGATGGCATGGGATGGTCACTGAGAGGGAGAGGATTTGAACTGATCTGATTGATTTTATGGAATGGTGTGTGTGAGTGAGATGGCATGGGATTGGCTGTCTGATGGTATGGGATGGTGTGTGTGAGTGAGATGACCTGAGCCCTGATGTGATTGTATGGGATTGTGTGTGATTGTATGGGATTGTGTGTGATTGTATGGGATTGTGTGTGATTGTACGGGATTGTGTGTGATTGTATGGGATTGTGTGTGATTGTACGGGATTGTGTGTGATTGTACGGGATTGTGTGTGATTGTACGGGATTGTGTGTGCTTGACGTGCCGTGAAATCTGCTGTGTGATGGTATGGGATGGTGAATAAGTGAGATGGCATGATATGGGTTTTGGATTGTATGGGATGGTTCGTGTGCATGAGGTGCCCTGATATGGGCTGTGTGATGGCATGGAATTGTGTGTATGAAATGGTATGGAATGGTGTGTATGAAATGGCATGGAATGGTGTGTATGAAATGGCATGGAATGGTGTGTATGAAATGGCATGGAATGGTGTGTATTAAATGGCGTGGAATGGTGTGTATGAAATGGCATGAAATTGTGTGTATAAAGATGACATAACATCGGTTGGTATGGAAGGGTATTTGTCAGTAAGATGGCCTGATATGGACAATTCTCCTGACCGTTTGTTACCACCTTCAACCCGATTTGTCATCTTCAAATCTGAAGTCACCAATCTCTGCCACTCAAGTTCTACTCTTCCCATACTGGGATGGTGTGTGCATTCGTGCTAAGATGTGATGAAATTCGATGGTGGGTGTGATGTGTTGGGATAAATGAAATATGGGATGATCAATGTGGGTGATCGGTGTGTCTACTAGCTTTGCAGGCCATTCACAAGTCGCTCAGAGCAAACAATTCATGATAAATACTAAGCTAGTCGATATAATGTGAAAAAGCATAATAAACTTAAATTGACTATGTACATGAGAGAAACAGAACCTTACGGTAATTTATGTACAGATGGGGCAAGCGACCCTACTCGTCGTCGTTAATGAACTTCCCTGTACCGGGGTTGATAGCGGCGATGAAGAAGAAGGCGATACTGACGAGCAGCAGCGGCTCCAGCTCCCACACGGGCAAGCCAGTCTCGATATTCAGCTGCGCCAGCGCGCCTCGCCCGGTGATCACCTCGCCCACCAGGCTCGCCGCGAGCCTCAGTTGCGCCATGCGCCCCACGAACAGCTCGTTTGCCTTGGTAAACCCGAATAGCGGCCCCTCCTCGCTCAACCCCAGCGCCGCCTTCACACTCCCCGGCTTCATCGGCGGACCCGCCGGCGCCTCGTCGTCCACGAATCGCCCGCGGTCGCCCAGCCCGCCGATGGCGCCGAGCACGGTGAATGCGATGAAGAAGAGCAGAAGTGGCTCGGCTTCCGTGATGGGGATGCCCGTCTCCAGGTTCAGTTGCGAAAGGATTCCTTGCCCGGTTACCGCCTCGCCCAGCAGCGACGCGGCGAATCCGAGCATCGCCACGCGCCCCACGAAGAGCTCGTTGGCTTTCGTGAAGCCGAAGCTGCCGGATGTGCCGAAGATGCCGTCTTCGGTGCGCAGTTGCTTCTTTACTGGGGCGGTCTTAGTGGGGACGGCGGCCTTGTTGAAGCCGATGAGGGCTGTCACGCAGAGACCGCGGGGAGCGGCGATGGGAGCTACTGCTACGCGATTGGCGGAGAGAGAGGCGCCCTTCGTTGCTGTGCTGAAGGAAAGGGCGGCGAGAGATTGCTGTGCGACGAGGGAGGAAGACATTGTGATAGAATTCGAGAGTGTGATAGCGTGGGACGTTTGACACAGAGTAGGACGTCCGGAAGGAAGGTGAGTGAGAAAGATCAACAATGTCCAGTGTCATAATGTATTTGCTGTCTAGCCTGAAGTGGGGTACTCTGTAATGAGTACAACCCAATTTAGGGTATTTTACTTGTATCCCAAGTCTTGCTAGTGAAACCACTTCTCTTTCAAAAACCTCTCGATACTTTCCTCCTCACCCTCGAACTCGATCCCCAAGGCACCTAACTTGTAATGGCTCCTAAGCCAACCTACACTTAGTACTTTTCACATCCAGCACAGCAAAGTGGTATCGATAATACCCGGAGAGGCGAGTGGGTATATATCTGTTTGCCGAGTCGCGGATTGAAATTTACTGTCCAGCGGAACGAGAGCTCGACACGAGAAAGGATGCAAAAATTCATTGTGAGACGTGGCTGTGTGAAGTAGGCGCCACGGTGGATGCTCCGCCTCAGTGGTTCATTGCTGGGACAACAACCATCCGCGTGGCTCCAATAACTGCCACCAATGTTGGCACGTCAGATCTCTGAAAGGTGGGGCTGAAAGGATCTGACGTGCATTATGGAACCTTTTGGGACCATCGAGCACTGACGGCAGAGTATCGCTGGCATTGACCACCTCTGACCTGATTTGCGGGACCAGAATGAGATGGGGGTAATTCGGTTCACTTCTGCTCAATTGGGTATCAGTTACAACCGTTGATGTCCGCGTGCATCAGATAAACACTCAAACTAGCATATCATGTTAATGATTCAAGAATCCCACTTTGCTTAGCAGCACGCATTTGATATTCAAAAGTTGTACGCTCAGTTATGAATTGTAACGGGACATTCACACTGATTCCAGCAATTCCATCGTGCATGCAAAGAGAACAAGCTCACAAACATGTTCAATAAGCCTTCAATCTTGTTAATTTGCACTTTCACATCACATCCTACTGTGCTACAAATCTCCGGCCTGGTTTGTTAGTGTCTCCATGAGCCTTTCTGACAGCCCCTTGCAGCCTTGGATCATTGTGTGCCCTCACCACACACCCGCGCCTCTCCACATCCAGCAGCAACTGCTCCCACGTGCAATTGCCCCGCCTCAGTGTGTCGCCATCGCCCACCACCCACATGGCATGGCGCGCTCGCGTCACTGCAACGTTCAGACTGGAAGAACGGGAAATGGCAGAGCGCCGACGGAAGGAACCAGTCAATAACAAATGACCCTTTCTCCAATCAAAAGCGTGCATTCTTTCGCACAGAAAAAGGGGGTATTGCTCCTGAACTCAACAAACTCCATAAGGCCACAGGCATACCGTCGAGGGTCAGCAACGAATCCAATCGATCCAACCGTGTTGCAGCGGACGGTGCTGGGGATGATAACGTCACACTCCCTGCATTGGAATCCGTCCACAGTGCCCGCCTTCACCAGAAGCTGCCTCCACGCCCCCTCCCTCGCATGCACTGTGCCCTGCAGCACCTCCACCTGCCGCTTGCTTGTACGGCGAAATCCCCCCCACCTTCAGCCCCGTGCCATCCTGCATGTGCGCCGCTGCTCCTCTGCACACTGCAGGTTCAGTGGCAGGAAGAGACAAACAACGGAAGTGAGTAAATGTGAGGATGGAAGCAGGAACCGGGCAAGAAAGTAGCCCTGGGAGTGTAGGATCGAAGGGCAGAAGAAGGACGGGAGGATGCATGCAAGGCTCACCGTGAGCGAGGCGGTGCAGGAGGGTGAGGACGAGAGCAGATTCAACGGAGTTGCCAATGCTGCGGCTGCTTCCCTCCATAGCCCCGCCCTCCCGCTCCTCCCTGCCCTTCACGTGAAAGAACCTGTACGCGCCAAACAAGTGCTGCGGACTGTGCTGCGGGCGGCACACGTTGGCGCCATTTTGGATGCGGCCGCGGTAGAAGCAGCGCAAGGGAAAGGCGCTGATGGAGGGGTGCATGCGGTACTGCACGCTCAGCAGCTGCACCGCCCACCCGTTGCCTTGCAGGTGCTCGAATAGACTGCGGATGAACTGACCTGCTTCTGCCACCTGGGTATGAGGGAGAAGAAAGGGGAAACTGTTTTTGAGGCACCTAAAAACACACGCCCGTTGCCTTGCAGGCGCTAAAATAGACTGCGGTTGTACTGACCTGCTTCTGCCACGTGCTCACACAGGAGGGAAAAGGGGGAAACCACCGAGCTTGGAAGATAATTCTGACAATAAATAAAGCGGGCGGAGAAACATATAAGGTAGCAGAAGCTCCTCTAATCAGAGACCACAGCAAACCATAGCCCAGCTGGTGAAAAAGCCCACTACTTATTTCCCTGGACCATTCACATGCTTGCTAACGTGCCAGTACATACTTGTACCATTGCAAGCAATCCACCTTTGAAGAGCACCATACATCGCAGGCCGAACCAAGGCATATGGTTTATCACACAACTCGAAGACCCTGACCGATTCCATAAAGTTTCACTACTTCGCATCCCACCCACCCTCCTTGCTCATGACGGTGGCGGGAAGCTGCCGAGGGTCGCCGACCAGCACGGCACGCTGCACGCTGCCTGCGTGCAGTGCCACGAGAGGCGGATGAGCGAACGAGCAGACGACGACACGGTGGAGAGCACCAGGGGTGCGCCCTAGTGTGTTCACCAGGGGTGCACCAGGGGAGCACACATGCGTCTGCTATGCTCTCCCACGATGGGCTGCTGCTGAGCCCGGGGAGATCGAAGGCGGGGCTGACTGCGTGGATTCCTTGCAGGTGGAGGCGGATGGTGTGGAACAGCTCTGTGGCACGATCGCGAGAAGCACCAGTGGTGGTGGTGGTGGTGCTGCTGCTGCTGCTACTGCTGCTGCTGTTGGGTCTTGCTGCAAAGACTGTTGTGTTCCTCTTGCAATTCTTTCCCATGGCATAGCTGCTAGCCCCACCACTCCCATGGGGCATTCCCGCCAGCACCGTAGCCTCCTGTAGCACTGCAAGCACCCCCTTGATCTCCTGCCTCGATGTCCTCCTCGCCCCGCCATCCAGCCACTGCAGGACGTCAGCAGACGTTAGCCCAGGGCACGACAGAACGTGCAGCAGCGCAGGCAGGAGTTCAGCAGCCTGCAGCAGCAGCGCGCACTGGTGTGGCGGCAGGAGGGAGGACGGCAGGTCCTGGGCTAGAATGGCAGCTGCATCCCTTGCCTGACTCACCAGCTTCCCCACTCGCTCTCGGAAGAGGCTCAGCAGGTCAGCAGCCTCACGCCTCCTGCCACCGCCACTCTCCGCCTTGCCGTCCCCGCCAACCTACCCTCCACCACCCCCTCCAACCTTCTCCTCCTTGGCTGTGCGACGCCCCTTCTCACGCTCCTCCTCGTGCTCCTCAGCACGGCCATGAGAGCGCCCGTGCACTGCAGCACGGCCATGAGAGCGCTCGTGCACTGCAGCATGGCCATGAGAGCGCTGAATGCGCCTCTCCACCCGGTCAGCCCATGCCTGCTCCCCACACGCCCCTGCCCCTGCGTCGTCCCCTGCCCCTCCCCCTGCCCCTGCCGTGGCCCCGCCACCCCTGCCTTGGGCTGCGGGGGGAAGGAGGAGGAGGATGAGGAGGGGACCTCAGCAGTGGAGGAGGAGGGCAAGAGGGGGACGGTAGTGGGATCGACGGGGGGTGGGGAGAGGAGATCAGCAGCAGGCGGAGGGGTGGGGGTGGGCAGGACGGCGGAGAGGCAGGAGAGGACGGCTGCGTGTTTGGAGTGGTTGCGGTGGCGGGCAGTGCAGAGGGCGGAGACAGCTTGCAGCATAGCTGCTGCCTTGTGAGGCGCCACTGCAATGGCTGGGGGCACCGCCGAGCTTCGCTGCAGAGGGACAAAGAGAACGTGAGCAGTGGAGGAGGTAATTAGTTGAATGCGACGCCGAGCTTTCCCACTTCTTCCCGTCCCTCTAAACGGCTTTGGCGCCTTACCTCTCTCCACTCCGATCCGGCTCTCTTGGCTCCAGCTTGAGCCTCCCCTGTTGCCTCTCCTTGGAGCACAGTAGCGCCCTCAGCATCCTCCTCCGCCTCGCCCCCTCCTCGCTCGGCTCCTCCCCTCCCTGCAACGCTACCCACACGCGCAGGGGCGTGGCCAGGCACCCCAGCGGGGTGGCATACCACCGCACTGCCACTGCACTCGCCTGCTCCTGCTCGCTACCCTCCGCTGCCGCTTCCACTAACGGCCTAAGCTCACTGTACTCACACGAGCCCTCACGACGAGCCACCAGCTTGGCGCGCAGCCTCCCGCCCCTCGTGGTTTCACGAGCAGCGCCAAGCAGTGCAGCACTCCTGGGGCGAGCAGTGTGGGTGGGCGCGAGGGGAGAGCAGATGACAGCAGCACCACGTCTGTAGGCTTCAGCTCCTGCTCCGCCCCACTGCCATCCACACGCTGCCCTGCTGCACCCGCCCCATCCGCGTCATGCGCCTCACCCATCCCAACCGCACGGCACACCTCCAAGTCTACATAGCAGAAGGTAGCAGTGGTGTCCACCCCCCCACTCGAGGCACCCACCGGGCCACCTTCCACGCGCGTGAGAGCGTGCACGACGACCGGGAGGGAGCAGGCGGGCGGGAGGTCGAGCAGGGCGCGCTTGAGGGAGGCGTGGCAATGAGCGACCAACGGAAGGCAGCAAGGTAGGTGGGCACGTCTGTGGAGGTGGTGGGGATGGGTCACACCTGATGGGGGGCCATGGGCAGCGCAGGGGGTTTGCGGGGCAAGGCCCAAGGGTGAAGGAGACGAGCGCAGTGGCTTCTGCGCGTGTAGTGCTATCACAGAGGTGAACCGAACCAAACCGAACCGAACAACCACATGCTATGTCAGTTCATAATGTCAAGCTCAGTTGGCATCGAGGGTGCAAGCAGCATCTCACGAGGGTGGAGAGGAGGCGGTCGTTGCAGATGTCGGCCACACGCCATGGAAGTACGTGCTGCTCCAACTCGCACAGTGTCCCTCCCGCCCGCCCCTGCTTCCCTTGCCTCCCCTGCCTCCCCTGCTTCCCCTGCTTCCCCTGCTTCCCCTGCCTCCCCTGCTTCCCCTGCCTCCCCTGCTTCCCCTGCCTCCCCTGCTTCCCCTGCTTCCCATGCTTCCCCTGCTTCCCCTGCTTCCCCTGCTTCCCCTGCTTCCCCTGCTTCCCCTGCTTCCCCTGCCTCCCCTGCTTCCCCTGCCTCCCCCGCTGCGGCATTACGGCCCTTGGGAGCACGCCCTTCCTTGCCATGGCGTGTGTTGGGCGCAGAACATGGGGCGCTAGGCGGCTTGGATGCCTTTTGAGGCGCCTCTGAAGCCCCCTTGGCGCTGCGTGTGCCGGGCACAGGCGAGGAGGCGTCAGGCTGCATTGACGCCCTGCTGGCAACCCCATGCGGTGCTGCCTGCTGTGCTGCTCGCTGTTGGTCGGCGCTGTAGGCGTGACAGAGGGCACCGTGAGGGAGTAACAAGCACAGAAAACATAACTCACTAATAAGCCCATCTGTTCATAAATTGCCCTGGGTGCCTCGCGTGCATGGCCGTGGGCAGACATGGCGAGGCAAAATAAGGGACAGGAGGTCGAGGATCTTGAGAGGGCTGACGAGCGCGATCTATGGGCGACCATTCCAATCAGTTGCCACAACCCTGACTGTTTGGCTTCACGAATCCAGACGAATTTGGGGCATGATCTTCAATTCCAGTGTGAGGTTCAATAACCGCTATAAACTGACTCTACTTTTCCCCATAGTCGGATTCCTAGTTAACACCTTCACTAATCCTACATTTATTTGTAAGGGAGTCAGCCTACAAGTGCCTTCGTTTACCCTATATACGCCTGGGCTTCAGGTGCTGCCCCTGGGCAGGAAAATAAATATACAATAATAGTGGAACATGTTAGCTAATGGCTATAACCACGAGCATTGCCCTGCAGCACTGCAGTTTGATATTATAAACCGCCAAAATGTTCGTTTGTAGCGAACTTCGGTTAAACGGGGAATAACATGTCATCTGTGAAGCCGGATTCGCAGTGCCTATTGGCTGTTGCATTTTTGTCATTCTGTAATCTAACTGGCCCTCTGTTCTGATTGGTTGTACATCTGCTTTGCCATGGTCGAGCTGACAAGCCACCCACCAGATGTCTCCTCAGCTAAAGCCCTGCGTAGGTGGAAAACCCAGATGCCAACGTGGCTTCAACAGACAATGCATCTCCGCCACCACAATGGAGCAGCAAGTGGTTTGTGAGTCTAGGTGGTGTTCAAAAAGCGATGTCAGCTAGAGTCTCGTTATAAATTCAAGCTTCTTGAGTACGTGTCTGCGAAATTTTGGAGCGCTTCAAACTGCTAGTAAGTGGCAGATTCTTTGAAAACATAATGACAAATGTCTCACCAATCTGGGCTCAATCAGGAGATCTTGGGTAATTCTAGGAATGCGGTTTCATGTTCGAGGTGCTTCGGCAAGGTCACTTTGTTGTCCAGCTCCATCCTTACCAATTTCAGATTTCTTGGCAGGCCATTCCAATTTCTAGCATTTCTTGCTTCGCCAATTCCATATTGTTTGTGACATCTTACTTGCTCTTCTTGCTTCGGCCATACTTGAACAGTGTGTTTTGATTTCACGCTCAAGTGCCACTGTAATCTCCGGCTTAACTCGCTTCAACTTCTCATCAAATGGCGACAGCAATGGCTACGTCAACCCCCACCTGGGGTCCCCTCACCAGCGCGAAACCAGCCAAGTCATTCAGCTCCGCTCACAGCCTTTCACCACCCTTGAAAATCAGAACCGCCCCTCTCTCCCTCTCTCAATCTCGCGGGAGAATTAACCCCATCGTCGCGTCGACGGGCAACGGCGCGCCAGCGTCGCGCGCGGCGAAGCTGGTGGACGGGCGCGTGCAGGAGGGGCCGGACCTGAGCGTGGAGGTGAACGGACTGCGCCTGCCCAACCCCTTCGTCATCGCGTCGGGACCGCCCGGCACCAACTACGTGGTCATGAAGAAGGCGTTCGACGAGGGCTGGGGCGGCGTCATTTGCAAGACGGTGAGTCGCGATGACCTTGTTCCTAGAGAGAGAGGACAGAGAAAGAAATGGAAAAGAAAATGACGAGAGATAAAAGGTATTCGGATAATGTTTTTTTCCTGAATTTGCCCATTCGAGTCTAGTATGCCGCTCGTCTCACCTCTTTTATTCCCTTTCCGGTTCTCAATTTCACCTTTAATTCATATTCAGGTACGTATTACCTCTTAACGCTGCGGACTTTCAGTCCCGACGTGCTATTATCACCGCACGTTCCGCACGCTTTTTGAGGTGACTTAAAATTCACTCATCTGCCACCCCGCGTCGGTCCTAAACGCCACCACACGTCACTTCAAGCTAGGAACCGTCCCTTCCCGTTCTCTCTCTGCCCTTTCCCATCGCCCCTCCGTCCTTTCCCCGTTTCCCACGGTTCCCCGCCCCCGGCAGCTCTCCCTCGACTCGTTGTGGTCAACGTGACGCCGCGCTATGCCAAGCTGCGCGCGTTTCTCAACCGTTTTCGTTTCCCCTCGCCTGCCTTTCCCCGTGCCCCTCCTTCCCGGCAGCTCTCCCTCGACTCCTCCGAGGCGGTGAACGTCACCCCGCGCTACGCGAAGCTACGCTTCCCTCACTGCTTCCCCCTCGCCTCCCTCCCTCAACGCACCCCCCTTTCCGCCCCCTGCGCAGCTCTCCCTCGACTCCTCCAAGGTGGTGAACGTCACCCCGCGCTACGCGAAGCTGCGCGCCCCACTCACCCGCTTCCATTTATCTCCCTTTCCGTTGCCATGTCCGCACGTCCCCCGTTCCCCGTTTCTCTCTCCCCCCCGGTTGCGCAGCTCTCCCTCGACTCCTCCAAGGTGGTGAACGTGACGCCGCGCTACGCGAAGCTGCGCGCGCCGCACTCGCGCGACGTGATAGGGTGGCAGAACATCGAGCTCATCAGCGACCGGCCGTTCGAGGTGATGCTGGCGGAGCTGAAGCAGCTCAAGGCGGAGTACCCGGACCGCGTGCTCATTGCGTCCATCATGGAGGAGTTCAATAAGGACGCGTGGGAGGAGATCATTGGCCGCTGCGAGGAGGTCGGCGTGGTGAGTGCGTTGGATTGGGCTTTTTGTGTTCCATTGCACTGAACTGCACTGTACTGGACTGGGATGCATTGAACCGGACTGAACCGGATTGGAATGGACTGGTATGAAGCAGCTCAAGGCAGAGTACTTCGACCGCGTGCTCATTGCGTCCATCATGGAGGAGTTTAACAAGGACGCGTGGGAGGAGATCATTGGCCGCTGCGAGGAGGTCGGCGTGGTGAGTGCGTTGAAGTGGACTGGAGGAACTGGGCTAAAATGCACTGAACCAGACTGGGCTGCACCGGACTGGACTGAATTGGACTGAACTTGGACTGAACCGGACTGAACCAGACTTTAACTTGTGTGGCGGAGCGGAGGAGTTGAGTCACAACAAGCATTGTGTGATGTGATGGACCATAAATGGTTGACTGCACTGTTGCACGAGGAGGCATGTGCTGTGGGGCATTATCATTGAAGTCAAGAACCAAACTTTCAGAGGTCTAGCAGCAAAAATTGCGGTGCGATTTCCTAGCATTCTCTCCCTTCATCCTCATGCAGGATGCGTTTGAAATCAACTTCTCGTGCCTTTTGAGGCGAGTGTAAAGCCATTTCTCTCCAAATTACCCGCACCCTCCCTCTCAGGACGCGTTTGAGATCAACTTCTCGTGTCCACATGGCATGCTGGAGCGGCGTATGGGCATAGCGATGTGACTGTTGAGTCGGCTCAAAAGACAAATTTTCTTCGAGTTCTCCTGTCTCCCTCCCTCTCAGGACGCGTTTGAGATCAACTTCTCGTGCCCACACGGCATGCCGGAGAGGCGCATGGGCATGGCGATGGGGCAGGACTGCGAGCTGCTGCACGAGGTGTGCGGGTGGATCAACGCTGCTGCTCACATCCCCGTGTGGGCCAAGATGACTCCCAACATCACCGACATCACCCAGGTTGGTACCTTGAGACTTTATACCCATGCATTATGCAGGTTGATTAGAATCGCCTCATCCGTCCATCACCGTGTGGGCCAAGATTACTCCCAACATCACCGACATCTCCCAGGTATGAGGATGAGTTCGGCTTGCTGAGGATGAGGAGAGGGAGGGGGGATTAGCAAGGGTGGAGTGAGAGGCGTGCAGTGAGAGCATGAGAGCCATCACCCTTTTTGCACCTCTTCACTCAGGTGTCTCAAAACTTCACTCGTGGCCGTTTGTCTGCCTCTAATTGCTCTCCTCCCTCTCCCTCTCCCTCTCCCTCTCCCTCTCCCTTCTCAACGTGCAGCCAGCACGAGTGGCACTGGAGGCGGGGTGTGAGGGAGTGAGCGCCATCAACACCATTACGAGCGTCATGGAGGTCAACCTCAAGACGCTCAGGCCCGAGCCATGCGTTGAAGGGTGAGTGAGTGGGTGGCGCTGCCTCTCCCATCGCATGCCTCTCCCATCGCATGCCTCTCCTCCCATGCTTCAGGCCGGAGAGCAGCAGCAGCAGAAGTCCCTGTGTCAGTCTCCCTGCTTACACACTCATCTCCCTCTTGACTGCCCCCCACCTCATCTTCCCCCATCACTTGCAGCTACACAACGCCAGGCGGGTACTCGAGCAAGGCAGTGCGGCCTAAAGCCCTTGAGCACGTGATGAAGATTGTGAAGATGCAGGCGGCAAGATGAATCAACCATTGCATTTTCTCGTGCTCTCTCTTTCCATCCCGCCCGTCCTCAAATCTCACCTACCCACACCACCCCACAGCTACACAACGCCAGGCGGGTACTCGAGCAAGGCAGTGCGGCCCATCGCCCTGGCGCATGTGATGAAAATCGCGAGGATGGAGGCGGAGAAGTTCCCAGGGCAGGGCAAGTCGCTGTCTGGCATTGGTGGCGTGGAGACGGGGGAGAACGCTGCTGAGTTCATCCTGCTGGGAGCTGATACGGTGCAGGTGGGTGTGACGTGGTGGACTGTGGTGCAAGTGGGTAGGACGTGGTGCAGCGCAGACCACATTTAAGGCTGGCACTGGTGGGTGGGGTTCTCAAGAGCAAAAGAACCTATCCTGGAGAGCATGGCACTGGCGGGTCTCTATCCTTCACCTGCAGCTCTTATCCATGCTCTCCAAGCATGCATGTAAAACAGCATCTGCACATGTGTTCGTCTGCCTAGCCATCTGTCCTCCTTCTGCATGTTATGTGCATGTTATTCGGCTCACACGCACATCCCATCATCTCTGCAGGTGTGCACGGGGGTGATGCTGCAATAGCTATGGGCTCATCAAGTCGCTCTGGTGCCAGCTTGTGCCTTTCCTGTTGACATTCATGCTCCCCATTCCACACATCTCCATGCCACATCCCATCATCTCCGGCAGGTGTGCACGGGGGTGATGCTGCATGGCTATGGGCTCGTGAAGTCGCTCTGTGGGGGCCTACAGGGGTTCATGGAGCAGCACGGCTTCACGTCTATCAGCGACTTTAAAGGGTACGAGCACTCAGCAGCAGCGTTGCCTGGGATGACAATACTTAATCACGGCTTTCAGCCATTTCCCACAGTAACTCTGGTGTGCTTTTTACCTTTCACC